GATGTTGAAATAATCTGTAAAATTTAAAAATAAACACATAAAGACACGGAATTATTTATTTGCAACTTCATAATCAAAGCTCAAAGTCAACTTGTTTTTGAATTCACACGAAATTCCAGTCAACTTCAAACTCTGATCATAAGGCAATCTTCACTTATTCAAGTTCTTTTTACCCATTGAAAACTTTCTAAAGACATATTGAAGAATTTCCATGCAGTTACAGTTTGAGCTTTTTGAGCTCTCATCATAACTTGAAGTATTAGTCGTTGATATTGTTTGCTACCAGAGTACCACGTAGAGCTATAAACCGATGTAGAAACTGATGTTGAGTAGCTATTAAAATATTTAATTAAACAATTTTTTAAATATTATTCGCATGAGCTAGTAAGAACAAATATATTACTCAATTAAAAGCTGAGAAAAATAGCACTGCATAAATATTTGGAATGCCAAGATTATAGGGAACGGAATATACTTAGCGATAAAATAACCACTGATTCCGGTCTGAAAATATAAGTTTAGAATATTAGCTTTATGAAAATTGGTGTTTGTACGAATCCTAGGTTCAGAATGGATTACATCATCCTTTATATTATAATTTTTAAAGGAATGTACACCAGAAACACCAGCTGAATCTTAGCAAATCAACACTTACGACCGCTAGAAAACCAGCAATACATAATGAAGTAATAGATCCTAAAGCATTTATCAGCAATAACGGAGAAAATATATCATCTAACATTTCCGAAATTTCATTTAAGTGCTGATGAGCATCCACAAGCTTCTTGAGTTCTATAACAGCTTCTTTTTCATTTTCTGATGCATTAAGTTGAGCGAATTTTTGACTTATGATATCAAAATTCATTGCAAGAAGTTGCATTAAACTTACAAAAATAAAATCTGTGCTAACAATAAAAAATGATCCGACACAAATGGTCCATGCGTCTAAAAAGCATATAAATGCATGCAAAATCGGATGAAACTGTTCGAACGGCAAGTAAATTGATAAAATTAAATCCCATTCTAGATCTATGGATTTAATAGCGCCATAAATTTGATGTATAAAAGGCATTAAGCAAAAAACTGTCCCAATTATTATAAACACCGTAACATATAACATCTCAAGAATCTTCAATACTCTCAAATAACTTTGCGCCTTAAAAATCATCTGATCATGTTCAGAATGTGGAAAGTATTTGTCCAGCATTTCTATAGCTTCAATGACATCTTTACGTTTGTGGTAAAACACGATGAAGATTTTTAATAAGCAAACAACAAATACTCCGCTGAATAAAAAATGATCAAGCATCAATAAAACCAACTTCTTCTTAACTGACATAATGAAGGACATAATTTCCCAAAATAAAAAAATAACCAATGAAATCTTGCATAAACTGGCATTTAATTTAAGCCATTTATTAGATGAATTCTCATGATTTTTCAGATATGTACATCCAACCTTCCTTGCTGTATTTTCACAAATCAAAAAGTCTTCTAATAATAATAATTTAGAAGGATTTCGCTTCTTTTCTAATTTCGACTTCTTAAACTCTTGAAAACTTTGTATAGTTTGCTTCTCCATCTTACTAAATTCACTTCCGTTCACTTCAAAGTTCTGCACTACAATAAATCAAAAGTGCGTGCACAAAACTTTTTTAATGCGAGTCAAATGCGAACCAAATGCGAGTCAAATGAATGAAAAATGTAGATTTAATTTCAATCATTTTTGATGACAATTGCATTCTTTAAGGGCAACATTCACTCGACATTTATCGACAATCGGAATTTGTAATGATCATTTAGGAACAGTTCAGAATTAAACAAACTCTCACTTTCGATCAATAATTCTTTTCAAATCATTGTGCCTATCTCGCACTGTACTCGAAAAATCCCGGGAAATCTACACTAAGAAGCCACACTAGGAACATACTCAGCTGACTGTGGATAATTCACAGTATAATTTGCAAGAAAAAAAAAAAATCAATAAAATAAAATGATATGAATAAATTAAGTAAAAATTGACATCAGGATGATAGATTCATTGGGTATGGACTTGATTTAATAACAGCCATACAACTGTTCAAATTAAATCTTTTCAAGTTGAATTATTGAATCACTTGAAATTCGAAACATAGTCTCCCTTCATGAATTTATTAGAACCTAAAAATGGTTGTTAATAAATTCAGGACAATAAACTTTAGAATTTTAAAGAATTTTTCTTAATTTAAGTTGGATATTTAGAAGGCATTCTTATAATTTAAGTAGATTATTATGCCACCAATAAATCTCAAATTAACTGTCGTCACACAAAACCAACCACATCCTACAATTCCTCAACACGTGTCCTTTTTTCAAGTGTTAGAGTAAAAAGGAGTAAAGTGAGAGGAAATTTCTTGTTATTTGCTTTTTCTGCGGAAACAAAATAAATATTTTTTCCTCCTTTTTGATCTCAACACACAGCAGTCATAAGTTCTACGTAATTAATACAAATAGCTCTTATTAGTGACTTCTTGTGTTGTTCTTAAATGGTTACCAATATCCATAAATCACTCGACAACTTATCATTGCGTATGTGCTGGAACTGTAGAAATATGAAATGGAGAATTGGAAGTGGAGAAATTTAATATTTTTTTAACTTGATTCTGTCAAGAGTGGATAAGAGTGTCAATAATGTTGTCTAGAAATAAGAAATCGAGATTTGAAAGTGTTTCGATCGAAAAACATTGAAATGTTGTTCTTACAGCAATCAAGTTGAGGTTATAATTAGAACCAAGCTACAGTAAACCAAAATTTATGCTACTTGACCATCGCTTTACTCAAAACATACTTATTTATCGGTTTAATACTTACTCTCACTGTATTCTTTAAAATCTAGAATTAAATGCGCTTTAAAGCTATTCAATTACTCAAACTTCAATACTAATTCTTCTTGGAGATTCTTTTATGATCTTCATAATAATATTAATTAATTTAATTTAATGATCTTCCGTTCTGAGTAATAAAACGTTTACATTTTAATTTTCTTAATCGATCGCGTAACCGTGAAAGAGATTTTTAATTGCTTATGAACACTTTTTAGCGGCATTCTGTCACATATGTTTCTCGGCTGATTATGCCTTTATGATAAATGTTTATATTTACACAACAATAATGCATCCATTCATTTGATGCTAAACGATCGTTAATTTACATAAACATGAGCTGTTGTTGATGTGTTTTCTTCTTTTTGTAGACATTTATGATAGATTTTTTGCAATTTTTATATGCTGTAAATCTTTCAACGCGTGTTTTCCATATATTGTGTGTTATGATTATTTCCGATGATTTTACTAAAAACTATTGTTTATACTAAAAGAATGTAGAGCAAGAAATAAAATTAATATATTATGTAAGGGGCCGTTCGCATTTTAGGGGAGAGGGGGTTGAAAAATTGTAACAAAATGTAACATAGGGGGGGGGGGGGGTCAATTGCGGTTGATAATTACTTAAAACAAATTTGGGAAATATTTAATTATTTAAAAGATAATTCAATCAAAACAATATCTAAATGGGGGGAGGGGGTGTGAGTTGTAACATATTGTAACAAGGGGGGGGAGGGGGGAGGGGGGTCGTTTTTTTGCGTAACCTAATAAGTGAACCCCCTAAGTATTTATGCGCCCGATAAAAAATTTTAAATAAAATCTTCTCGAGAAACTGAAAGTTCTGACTCTAATATACCACTTAATACCATAGCAGCAGCCAATGATATTGTAAAATTTCGATTTCGGGTTTTGTGCTGGTAAATATTGTGCTGTTTTGCATTGGATGTATGGAAATCCATTCTGACCATTTCAGGTACAGAGTATACTTCCATCAACTATTTTGCATGAACTCATTCGTCCACAATACTTTTTGCAACCAATTTCATCATCTTTAATAATGATGTCTGAACTTTGTCTTTTTCTACAGCCTTTACCACCTTCAGAGAAATATCCATCAATACATGAACAGGATTGACTATGCTCGATCGCCTTACAGATTGCATTGATGTTTTTTCGTTGTTTTTATGAGAAATTCCACCAAAGCATCAACTATCTATAAAAGCAAATGTTCCCAATCTCAATCTCGATCGTCAACAAAGGAAATACTTCTGTATAGTCAAAAAAATACAGTAAAAAGAATGAAACCCAAGAATCTTAAATAAATAAAGTAGTTCCCTTTATTCTCATCTCATGACTAATTAGTCGCGATGTCTTCATGACAAATTTCTCACTTCTCATGATTATGTCTGTTTTATAATATTTTTTTAGTGTCCAATGTCAGTATTTTCTCATAGACATGATGCGATACATTTTTTTAAAGAAACTTGTCATCGATGGAAAAGAAATCAAAACATTTTTCCCACAAAGAAGTGACAAAAAATCTGTTAAAACAAATTACAGCAGCTCCAAAATATTCCACTGTAAGGAACAAAAAGTCATATTAAAATGGTAATTAATCTTTCATTAATTAATTTAATCATAAAATAACGACAAAACATTTCTATGACGGGACATAAAAATTCATGGGTTAGATGCTGACTTCAGCACTGGATTTTATGATAATGAGGTCATTGAGATAGGAATCAGGAATGTTTTAGAAAATTTGAATTTGATTTTAATCTTGCGTTTTTCATGGATTTACTTTATTGACAAGAATTGAAAAACACGCGAAATTTACGAAAATAAAAATGACTTAAATCCATAAACAAATAGACAGTAAATTACGCACTAAACAGCAAAAACGACTCAATAACAAGGCAAAAATCTCAAAAACTATGCTGCATGTGCCTAAGACAAATACAAATGATCATAAATACCCGCCCACAACTGGATCTTTCAAATCTGATTGGCTACAGCATGAAAAGCAAGAAGCAAAGAGAAATTTCAAAAGACTGACTGCTGTTCAGAATAGATCAGTTAGTTGACGCAATCGGATAGTTATAATAAGCAGTAAAAAAAATATATTCTGTGGAATTTAAAATGTTCTCATCAGACATAACAAGGAATGACTTTTTTCAGGAGCATTGTGTACCGCAGCACAAAACAGCTTCCTTTGAGTCTGCATATTCAGGCATTAATTATCCGGAATATCCTTCAGAAGGATCAAATTATCCGCAAACACCTCTAAATATTTATAACAATTACAACCCAAATTATCATCATCATCATTATTACTACCCGAATTTCCATAATTTCCCAGACTATCCTTATCAAAATTCAGCTGACAATAATTGGATTAAAAAGTACGAGTGCGATAGTCAAAAAGAATATTTAAGTTCAAATGTTTCAACATCAGGGGATTATTGTGAATTTGAAGTGCCACAGCAGACTGTAAATCCGTCAAAGACGGTCGAAAAGAGTAGTACAGATGTAGACAAGTTCTATTGTGATAGTTTAATAAGCTCTAGTAAATTTCAAAAAGAGCAAACGAATAATAACTATTTGGAATCATATGAGAACTTTGACATATGGGAAAGTGAAAGGAAGTCTGTGAAATGCACAAAAGGACTTGAAAAAGTGAAGAAGAATGAAAGCTTAAAAGGGAGTGAGAAACATTTTAATAGCAGTGATGAGCTAAGTGACTTAGGTAGGTAGCTATATATGCTTCACTCTGCTTGCTTGATTTTTGAGCTAGAAAATTGATCGAATTCTCCAAAAGTTTCAGAACTGATAAATGACAATTTGAACTATTCTACTTGAATTTGATTCTTACTTTAAGATAAATACAGTTGAGTAATCCCAGACAGTTTAGTAAAATGAATGTTCAAATTGATTCGCTTGTGTTTAAATGCAAGTGCTCTTTAGAGATCCGATACTCCCTGAAGATTCGAATTTTTTGTGAATCTTTTACAATCGATCATGAATACCAGCACCTTTTGAAAGGAATTGGTTTAGGAGCCTAAACTATTCGGTAATCTGTTTGATTGAATCACTACATATTGATTATAGTTTTAAATTCATTATTGTTTGTTAACTTAGTCTTTTTATGATTTATTTTCTTTTTTTGACCGCGATTCAATATTTTCTACAAACTCATTCATGTCATATTAACAATTATATCTCATTATAACATTTGATTTAAAACTGACGAGGTTAATATCAAGCTAGACTCATTTTTGTTTCAACTTATATTATGAATTAAATAAAGGATTATTCGGCCTGTTTTACTAAAGTGGATTATCTTCGATTTCGGAATATCTACTTCAGTTTTTTGGAAATATCTCCAGACACTTAAGGGGCCGTTCACTTATTACGTAACGCTTTTAGGGGGGGAGGGGGGTCTAAGATTTTGTTACGGTTCAAACAAGGAAATTTTTTTTTCATACAAATTTTGTTACGAGGGGGGGGGGTCTAAAAAGTCATTTTTTCGCGTTACGTAATAAGTGAACAGCCCCTAAGACTTTTAAGAGATCTAATGTGTGATCTAATAAGAGTACTTTGCTACTTAAATTAACATATACTTAGAATTTTTATATCTTCATTAGTTTGAAAATTAAAGCAAAAATCGAAGTTAATCTACTAGATTTGGCTAGAAAATTGAATAATTAATACTTCTTATCAAAAAGTAAAAGTTCAAAGTATACAGAAATTTTAGGCATAGTTCACTCTATTATATTCCAATATAAGAAATACCACACCTCCCATTAAGTTTAAGATATTTACAAAAATTTGAAGTGGATAATCCGAAATCGAGGATAATCCACTTTAGTGAAACAGGCCGATTATTATTTTATTGATTATAGATATGTATCTATGTAAAATAATCATTCTGGCTTCAGTTAGATAACCACCACATACTCATCAGGTTTGCTCTGCTGCATAGTCAATCAAAAATTTCATTCTAGCTTCTTATCATTCCAAAATATCCTTTCGTGCCTGCATAATGCAAAAGAACTCATTATCAATGCAATAAAGTAAATGCTTTATGATTGACGCAACAAGTAGTTTACTTGTATGAAAAGTTCGTGTGACTTTCTGTATAGAGTTGGTAAACAGACTTCGCCGACGGCTAGGCAATAGTATTAAACATGCAAATGGAATCTAATCAATCAATAAAACCTTTTTTTAACTCAAATTTCAACGTATGTCTGGTCCTAAGTTTAAGGTTTTCTTCAGAAATGAAAGTGTTATACCATTTCCATCACACTGACTGCATTTTCTGTATTGATTAATTTTAATCATGTCAAGCATAAAATCGTTGATACTTTAAAATCTGCTTGTAAATCACATCAAATATTAACTGCAATGTTTTTACTTCCATTTTTCACAGAAAAGCTAGTCTCATCACCAACATTAGTGTCAAATCGTAAGGAACGAACAGCATTCACGAAGCAACAAGTAAAGGATTTAGAAAATGAATTTAATCATTCAAATTATCTCACAAGATTGCGACGGTACGAGATTGCAGTAGCTTTAAATCTTTCAGAACGACAAGTTAAAGTTTGGTTCCAAAATCGACGAATGAAATTTAAGCGGTCTGTAAAAGGATCAACAAGTCCATAGGATGTTCTATTAAAAATTTTCTTTATTAATTATCTTTAATAATTCATGAAATCAATAAAATATCTGTAAATGCGTGTTACTTCTTATTTTACTGCTGCTTTCTTACTTCCTCTTGTGATCTTCTTTTTGGGCGATTCCTTTTTTGAAGGTGCTGCTGCTGTTTTTGCCTGAGGCACTTTAGCGACTTTCTTTTGAGTGCCTGTTTCTACTTTATTCTGTGCCTTTTTAACATTCTTTTTCTCGACCAATTTCTTTTCAACTGGAAGTTTTGATTCTTTTTGAATGGCTTGTTTTGACTTTACGCTTTTTTTCTCGACTTTTGCAACAACTTTTTTGGGTTGCTTTTTTTCTGGCTCAGCAGCAACTTCGACCTGTTTAGCTCCCCTTAATGTTCTTTTTGGTTTTGCTTCAACTTGTGGCTTCACAGCTTCAATCTCTGATTTTGTAGCAGGTTTGGACTCAACTTGTGGCTTTACAGCTTCAACCTTTGATTTTTTATCAGGTTTGGACACAACTTGTGGCTTTATAGCTTCAACCTTTGATTTTTTTGCAGGTTTGGACACAACTTGTGGCTTTTCCTCAGCAACTTTCAATTTCTTTGCAGGCTTTTCAGATTCCTCGACTTTAGATGCTGCCTTCTTATTTTTGACTGCCCTTTTCTCAACTGTTGGTTTATCTTCAGTTCCATTCTTATTTTCCTTTGATGCTTTATACTTTTTGCTGGCAATTTGAGCAACTTCAATTGCTGTAGTCTTCTTTTCTGTCTCGCCTGCTGCCTCATCACTTGCAGATGCGTCCGAATCATAGTCATGATCCTCAAATTCATCTTCAGAATCAATGTTAAACTTTGCAGGATCAAAAGTCTCGTCATTATCACCATCTAAGTCATCTTCAGTAATATTATCAATTGTAAGTGCTTGTTGGGTAACTTTTGGTGCTATTACTTCCTCTCCCATGTTCTTAGCGACTGAATCTATGTCAAAATCAATCCCAAGTGCAGCCAGTTTTGCTTTTTGCTTGCTTACTCTAAATATTGATTGATTTTTGGGGAGGACATGAGAGAAAATGTTAAATCGAAACTTAATGATCCAGAAGAATCTAAAGATAAAACTTACTTGCTCCTAACTTTCTCGACGCGATTTTTTTGATCTTCGTCAGTCATTAGCTTATTTGTACCCTCAACAATAGCCTGTCTAGCAAGCAATTTCGTTGATGTCATAATTTTCCGTCCATCCTTCTTAATTGACATAATACTACTACGGAAGTAATCATGTCGAATCTGTTCTGGCGGGATGAATTTAGTCTTGACAATTCTATGGAACATGATGTAATTATTCATAGCTTGTGCTGCAATTTCAGCAACCTCTGGATATCGAAACTCAATGAAAGCATATCCTCTTGAATTAAGCGTTGTTGGTGATCGTCCAAGTCTGATGCGTGTTACAGCACCAAATTGTGAAAAATAACTTCTCAGTTGTTCCTCAAAGAATCCATGTGGTAGATTCTTGACATAGACTAATCCTTTTGTCTTTGGGCGCTTCTTTTTCTTACCCTTTGTCTTCTTTCTATTAATTAGCTAGATATTGATGAAAATTTTGTTTATTAACATGTGCGATATAAATTTTATAGCTTAATATGCTTAACTTACAGCTTGTGATATGAATTTCGATTCCGTTTTAGCCGGTCCAGGCTTCTTTAACAATTTCTTCTTGTTTTTGCTTATAACAGCCATTATATTCGACTATAATTAAGGAGAACTGTGATATTTGTGACTGTTTACTGTAAAGTTCAGCACATGGATTGAACCGGTTCAAAAATATCTTCCGTCTCTTTTTAAAACTTTGGGGACGTTAATTTATGATGTCAAAAAATCAGGGATGAGGAGGGGGTTCTAAGGCTTTATTTCAGCTCAAACAAGGGAAATCTATTCTACAGAAGTTTTGTGACAGAGGGGGAAGGGGTCTAAAAATCAGGATTTCTATAGACGTCATTAGTGAACGAAACCTTTTTGAACTGCTATTTTCAAGTGATCTCAATAAGAATTTAATTTTATTATTTTGAAGGAATTAAACGTTATTATGGATAGTGTTGAGAATATTCGTGTTGGTACGCTTCCACCTGACTCGCCTTACATGAAGCCTTTTAGATTGTATTACGTACAGAATGGCAAAGAGAAGAATTGGGGTAAATAATTAATTTTCATACAGACTTCTATGATCCTCATAATCATTCAATTCCAGACCTTATTAGAGCTCATGATAGTGTTGCAATTATCGTCTTTAACAAGACCAGGAATGTCTTAATAGCTGTCAAACAGTTTAGGTAAATTTCCATTCATTTCTGGATGTATGAAGCAATTTAAAATAATTTAACCAATTGATCTGTTCCTGTAGACCGGCAGTTTACTATGGACTAGTAGCTGAAGAGTATGAAAAGACAGGAAAGGTTGATCTACAGAAGTTTCCACCAAAAGATGCCATTACAATGTAAGAAATTTTAATTTGATGACGTTATCGTAATTTTGTGAGCATACAAAACTATTTAAATTACCGAAGGTCAATTCTGCATGTTTGTGCATGTATTAGTTTTCAATTTTCGAAGCTTATGCCAATTTTATATGTAAATTCTCCTGCATTGTTGTTGAGACTTTTTTGGAAATGCTTCAATTTTTCCAGTTCAGAGAACGTTTTTTTTTATTGGACTAGGTTTGAAAGCTATATGCTGCAAATTTGAATGTATCTAAAATTAAGTTTTCCATCGTGTAGATGATCATAATCTATGAATCCAAAAGTCTTACAAAATCAGCATAAAGCTACATAATTAACATAAATTTCGATACTTACAGGGAGCTTTGTGCTGGAATTATCGACAAAGATTTGCCAACCAATGAAATAGCAAGAGAAGAGCTCATAGAAGAATGTGGATATGACGTGCCTGTAGAAAGAATTGAGGAAGTCATGCAATTTAGAAGCGGTGTTGGAACTACTGGATCTTTACAGACTTTATATTATTGTGAAGTAACTGATTCTGATAAGGTTGAAGGAAGTGGGGGTGGCATCGGCGATGAAATTATTGAAGTCGTTGACATTCCATTAGATGAAGCTAGGGAGATCATTAAACAAGGTACGAAGCATACAAGTCCGCCAGGATTCTTATTCGGTATTTTATGGTTCTTGACTAATAAGGCATCAAAATTATAACTTGACTACATTCCCACTGACTCACAACGTTCTAAAGGAAATTAAATATTTTAAGGCACAGAATCAATTCTATTTTAGCGATTATGAATTCTTTTATTTTTCCTTGAATTATATAATTTGTTTAAATTATAATACGATATATTTATGCAAAAATTGGGGATTTTTAAACATTAGATTCTATTTTGTCGATTAGATGAACTTTACTAAATTAGGTAATAAAACTAAACCTTTTAAATAATTATATTGAATTTTCATGAACATCTTTTGTGTATTTTTCATATTAATGCTCAGAGATCGTTCACAAATGACATGCTGCAATTTTTAACGGTTAATTTCCAAATTTTGAACTATATAATTCAATTATTTTCAGACTGATAATTTTTTGAACTTCAATTTTTTTAAAATACTTTTTGATCGTTATTTTTGAACATTTTTGAGCTGATAAGTTATTCGCCTATCGTCATTTAGGATCGATCCCTTAATATAGAAAAATTTCATAGTTTTTATTTAAAGCTTCACATAATTCATCTTAGAATATAACAATTTAAACTTCTTAAAAGGGAACTGCTTCTCAATTTATTATAAATCCAAAAAATAAATTGGCAAATCGATTTTTCTTGAAGCTACAACATGTGTAATGTCTTTATCGAATAAAGTGCAAAAGTCGTGTGCTCTTTATGAGGTTTAATAGACCATACGACTAGTGTACATCCGATAGAAGTATATTTAGGCTCTATGATATATTAATATTAAATTTAATGTCTCAATAATTATAATAGAGTGAAAAAGTTTAGATTTTGGTGCTTTATACGCAACTTTCAACATAATTTCCAGGGAATAATCCAGTCACGCCGTCCATAACACCTTCCCACCTAAAAGTTGTCAAATATTGGTCAATTAATGGAAAATAAAGGGTTTTAAGTAAGTTCCTTACCATCCATCATCATTCTTCTTTAAAACATAAATTACAGACGATTCCTGGAAACTCAGTTCATCGTCTTTATCAGCATAATAGTCGTAAATGGCAACGACTGAAAAAAAATCAAAAATCAGAAATTAGGACTGCAAAGTTCAATAAATCCTTCGATTTAACTTAATCCAAAGATTTAAATCCCGAGATTAAAATAAAGTAGAAGTAAAGTACGGCCGAGATCCCAATAGACAAAATTCAAAAGAGGTACTTGATTCTCAATGAAATAAATTCGTCTTTGCTAGATTTGATTCCGTACCTTTCTCAATATAATTCTTTGGAACCCAGCCAGGAAGATTACGATCTTCAGGAACAATAGCAGCAACAATACTATTCGATTGCTGCGTTCTAGGTCGTCCAAAATCAGCTAAATGCTGTTCCTCTGGTGGTGGTGGTAAAGGTGGACTTTGAGATCCAGGTCGAGGCATGTTCCTTGATAAAGTATGAAGACCAATGTGATGTGGTTCTGGCATTTCGTGAGTCGTTAATGGCGATGGAGGCGCTGTAACAAAATCTCATTAAATACTGCAAAAATCATAAACTAGAATTTGTGGAACTTACGAGGCATATTCATGCTGTTTCGATCATCATACGTGATACCGAGTGAGTTTTGCATTGTCTGTGTCATGGGCTGAACCATTTGCGGTGGATTTGTATTAAGATGAACAGCAACTTGCTGACTTGGTGGCATTGGAAGCGAACTATAGCCTGGCCCGCGATCAGAATTTTGACTACTTTGTCGACGTGGATGTCCGATTGGATAATTTGGTGCATAATGAGATGGAACTTGAGGTGGAATGACAACAGGCGGTGCACGATATTCACCACGTGATGATTTTCCTAATGTACCCGTATTGCTAATTATTTTAGGGCCTGTACTTGATCGTACACTTCCTCCCATATTAGGAGGAGTAGGTGGTTTTGTAGTTGGCGGAGGAACTGACGCCGAAACTGCATTCATATTAGTCATATTAATCATATTAACGGATTGATTTGATGCTCTTTTGCCTTGTCTCTGTCCGAGATGAGTTCCATGACCAACTTCATCCAATAATGTATAATCGATTGGTTTACGGACATACTTTATAGGCTTTTCTGGATTAGACGGTGCCACAATCTTATATTGACGTGCTGCAATCTTATTAGCTGTTAATACACCAATCTCACGACGTGCTACTTTCTCTCGATGTATCATGACTGTCTGTGCAATATGATTCATCTGCGATTCCATTTCAGCTAGATTATTTGCTTGTAGATCCAGTAATTGTATGTAATTTGATGCTAATGTATTAATTTGATAAGCAACACTCGCAAGCGATTGTGTTGTAAAGTTTTTCGTTTCCTCTAAAGCTGCTTTCTTGTTTTCGGAACTGGAAATGAGATGCAATTAAAGATATAGTGAAATTGCATGGACGTTAATTAGAGCATGTAAACTAGTGCTAGTTCGAGCTTCATTCGAATGTTAATTGATTAAAGGAGTGTTGGACTAAAATACGTTCCGTGCACTTATTACGTTCGCATTTTAGGGGGGAGGGGGGGTTTGAAAAATTGTAACAAAATGTAACATAGGGGGGGATGTCTAGAAGTATGTAACGTTCTAACTGTCATCTGTCTTTAAAAAAAAAATTTGAATTATGAATTGAATTATGGGGGGGGGGGGGTTGTGAGTTGTAACAAGGGGGGAGGGGGGGGGGGTGAAAAAAGTTGGTTTTTTGCGTAACGTAAAAAGTGAACGCCCCCTTAATGATGTGAGAACTTACCGGTAATAAGAATCTTCGCAATATTCAGCTACTCGTTCGAGATTAGTGAAGGAATCTTTAAGACTTTGCCTTCCTTCAGGCAATTCTTGCTTAATTAATGTTATTATTTCGTCCATTGTATTTACACCTACACGAGAACTGTTATTACCCTCCTGATATGTAGAATCTATTGGATATGATTTAAATAATTGATTAAATTAACTATAAATTGTGAAAAACAAGCACAGCAAAGGGGAAATGAAATTTTTTTCTGGGTGTGAAGCATTAGTCATCACTTGTCGGCTATTTTATGCACTTTTACTTACCAGTGGTGTAAGAGTATCTATTCATACTTTGTTTTCAGCCTTTAAATTGTATTTCTTCCACTTATTTATGGGTGAAAATGAAAATAATCGATCTTAAAAAATATTTTTCAATAGATCAAGTATAAAATCAAAACTGGTAAGAAACTAGCAATTGTAGATTTAACCGGGTGTATAATGCGCATTTTTCTGGTTCTTAGTTTAAATTAAGTGTTGTTTGACATTAATTAAAGCATTTGAAGTGATTTATAACGGTTTTTGAAAATTCAAAAATAACGACTTTTAAGAATTCAAAATTTTGAAAACCAAACAAATGTTTCCAAAACCATACAACAACTCCATAATGATATTGTAAGGTTTTCAATAAAAATTCACTCAAAAAAGTCTTAAAAATATCCAAAATTAGACAAAGTGGCACTTATAATGCACTATTCAATGTTAGCAGTGCTATAAATCAAGATTCCCTTGTGAAAAATACGACATTTTCTAGATTGAACCGATTGAACCGTTTTTTGAACCGGATCATCTTGCCAACATTTACTTTATTTACAAAAAATAAAAATTGAAATTTTCACGATTAATATAAAATTTTCCAATAAAAAATGGTTTTAGCAGATTTAGGTCGTAAAATAACAACGGCACTGCACTCATTGAGTAAAGCCACAATCATCAATGAAGAGGTAAGGCTGATTAAGTCACGAAAATTGGACTTAATTTCACAACTTTCTAATCAAACTTTTTAGGTTTTAAATGCTATGCTAAAAGAGATTTGCACAGCACTATTGGAAGCTGATTGTAACATAAGATTAGTCAAACAATTACGTGAGAATGTCAAGGCAGTTATTGATTTCGAGGAGATGGCTGGTGGATTAAATAAAAGACGAATGATCCAGTCAGCTGTTTTCAAAGAGCTTGTCAAGGTAAATTAAGCTTAATTAAACATATATCCATTAGATTAACATTCCCATATCTCATTTCTAGCTCGTCGATTCCGGAGTAAAGCCATACCAGCCAGTGAAAGGTCGACCGAATATTATAATGTTTGTAGGACTTCAAGGATCTGGAAAGACCACAACATGTACAAAGCTTGCTTACTATTATCAAAAGAAAAATTGGAAATCATGTCTAGTTTGTGCTGATACATTTCGTGCTGGAGCATACGATCAAATTAAACAAAATGCCACAAAGGCACGCATTCCATTCTACGGAAGTTATACAGAAGTTGATCCTGTCGTGATTGCACAGGAAGGTGTTGAAATGTTTAAAAAGGAAGGCTTTGAATTCATCATTGTCGATACTAGTGGACGTCACAAGCAAGAAGAATCACTTTTCGAGGAGATGTTGGCTGTCGCTAATGCTGTAAATCCAGACAATATAATATTCGTTATGGATGCGACAATTGGTCAAGCTTGCGAGGCACAATCTAGAGCATTTAAGGAGAAAGTCAATGTTGGTTCTGTAATTATTACAAAATTAGACGGTCATGCTAAGGGTGGTGGTGCTTTATCAGCTGTAGCAGCTACAAAAAGTCCAATTATATTTATCGGAACTGGCGAACACATCGATGATTTAGAACCGTTTAAGACAAAACCATTTATCAGTAAATTACTTGGTATGGGAGACATTGAGGGACTTATTGATAAAGTTAATGAACTTAAACTTGATGATAATGAGGAACTGCTTGAGAAAATTAAGCATGGACAATTCACAATTCGTGATATGTACGAACAATTTCAGAATATCATGAAAATGGGTCCTTTTTCACAAATTATGAGCATGATTCCTGGATTTTCACAAGATTTCATGTCAAAAGGAAGTGAACAAGAGTCCATGGCGAGAATAAAGAAACTTATGACAATGATGGATAGTATGTGTGATGGTGAATTGGATCATAGAGAAGGTGCAAAATTATTCAGTAAGGAAAAGACTCGAGTATCTCGTGTGGCTAGAGGATCTGGCGTAACAGAACGTGAAGTACAGGATCTTATTTCACAATATACTAAATTTGCCGCGGTCGTAAAAAAAATGGGAGGCATTAAAGGATTATTCAAGAGCGGCGATGTCACCAAGAATGTAAATCCCACACAAATGGCAAAATTAAATCAACAGATGGCAAAAATGATTGATCCAAGGATGCTTCAACAGGTAAGCGTGATATGATTTATTATTTTTAGCACATTAATCAAATTAGTAATGCATAATCTTCAATGGATAGCTCAAAATGTCTGCATTTTGTCTTTAAATGACTTACTCTGAAAATTACGTTATTCTACATATTTGAAATTCCTGCTGCTTTTTGAACCGCTTTCAAATATGTTTTCACCATTATTTTTCAAATTTTGTATGTCCGTTATTTCTCATATTCTTAATTTTACTGGATAATTGTACTTAAATGTTGATTAATGCGCTGACAACGTCAACAGTGACAAAGAATCACTCGTTATTAATAAAATTAAATTTATATCAATTACAGATGGGTGGAATGTCAGGACTTCAAAATATGATGCGACAGTTACAGCAAGGCGGTATGAGCGGTTTACAAAATATGATGGGGGGCTTTGGTGGAAAATCATAATGCAATTAATTCCAACCATCAATTTGATTCCGGATAAAATAATCGAGATAATTTTTTTACATGCAAATTTATTTCTGTTTCCTACATATTATGTTGTCCTAGTTGTATAAAAAAATTATTAAAAACATTTTTCATGCATAAAATAAACAACACGCATTTTTGAATCGTCTGGGAATGAGTTGCGTCCTATTTTATTTATGGAACATAATTACACAACATCGAATGATTGATTAATTATAATGACTAGATATGGTCTTACGGTAGAGCACGATTAATGATAGGAAACAAGGCATGGCGAAAATCATTTTGAAATAATTACTCGCTTTTGTATATAATAGATAAGTGAGGATAATGTTGAATAAAAGTTTTAAAAAAATAACGTCTTTTTGAGTTTTAAATTGATCCGATTTCCAACGACTTTTTGAGATTCAAATGTTTTTCAAGTTCAAAATTTGAACTTTTTTATTTCAATTGTTAAAAGCCGTTGGAATCTAAATTCTGAAAAAACGTTGGTTTTTTACGGCATTAATCTAAAAGTAGCAAGGAAAGGAAACACCAATTTGATACATTAATCCATCTCGTCAGTAAAAGTTGCAGCAATAAACTTAAATTGCATCCGATAAATCTTCAAGAAGTTTATAAAAGTCATTTACATCTTGGTAAGCGATCAAGCCATTCCGATTGCATTTATCTTCATTATTATGAGGATATTTTAATGGAATGGGTTGTTTTTCAATAATACTGTTTTTAAATTCAACAATATCACCACCGAGAGCTCTTAGAATCGCCTGACATGCACACGTATCCCATCTAAATGTTGATCCTTTACTTAAATAATAAATATCAGCATCTCCTTCAATAACTTTTAATGCTTTATATCCTGCTCCTGCAGACATTGCAACTTCAAAGGATTTGCATTTATACAGTTCTGATGATGATGTTATCGCAATTTTCCTTGAATTGACTCGAGGCTGCACATTTGAATATTTAATGTCGTTCAAGGAGATGCCATAGAATATTTTACTGACATAATCGTCATCATCTTTTGCTGCAAATGGACTACAAACAACTCCGATAATTGGCAGTTCCGTTGATTTATTATAAACTCCAATTAAAATTGTTGCACATTGTAATCCACTTTTCTGGATGTTTGAGAATTCTGTAAGTTCATCGACTCCATTTATATACTCAGCAGTGCCATCAATTGGATCAATCCAAATTCCAATATCAAAATCAATTTCTTCATCATCGGAAATGCTTAATTCCACTTCAGTATCTATGACTTTAAAGATCTCATTAGTAAGTTCCTTCGCTGCTTCATCATTACTGTCAAGTACTTTCCGTAACATTTTGAATGTACATTCCCGATTATCATCAATTTCAATTATAACTTTTTCTCCAAGAACATTTTCAAATCCATGACTTTCTTCGCCTTTAATGCTGTCCTTTATGCTTGGAAATAGTTTTCCGACATCATAACGAATTGTTTCTTGTATCAGTACATCTGCAAGTGTTTTAAAGTCATGGAAGAAACGGTCGTTCTGGTTGAATAAAATAAATTAAATAAGAAAATTAATTAATGAACTTTAGCTTCGCTGGATCTTAACTGTATCATTATAATAACTTGTTATCTTAATAATATGCATGCAAATATAAATGGATCACTTAATATCTGTGTCAATTAAGCTCATCCTTGTATAAATAACTCGAATTAAAGCAATTTAAAATGTTTACCTTTTCATCTCCAGTTTTTTCTTCAATTAAAAGACTAAACAAGTGTTGATTGCTTCTGCATTTACGTGCTATGTTTGCAGCCTTTTCACTTGCATTGATTAACGCGACAAATAGTTCTTTAGCTTTCATATTTTATGAGTTTTAATTAAATTAAGACATTTTATGAATTTTCTTTTGTTTATTTTTGTTTTGAACCGTTTTGAACCGGTTGAGTTTTGGATGTTGAAAAACTGTCATTATCTCTTGATTTAATTAAAGTTAGTTCAAGGGATCCTAACAAATTGTTGTAATCTAGCTTATAAGTTATCTTTAACTTCTCAGTATGCTCTTTTAAGTTGTCTAAAGTTATAAAACCATTAAATGTTTTAAAAATTTAAAAATCTTCATAGAAACCGTTGTCATGTATTTATGTTGATACTTTATTGTAGTCCGTCCATAAAAAATTTAAATTTCTCAAAATTCTGACAGAAACCATAAATAATGGTAAGTACAACAGCTTCATTAATACTCATTAAACCACATTAATTACGTAAACAATTAGAATTCACAGCATAGAATCCAATTTGATGCATTTTCACGAAAAGTCTGTGATAATCAAAAGAATCAAGATTATGAGTATGCTAGCCAGCAAATACAACGAAATTCATCGTCACGTCATCTACAAAAATTACTTATTGAGGAACAAAAAGAGAGAGAATTGGAAGAAAAGTTGCGTAAAATTGAACTAGAAAAGGCTAGACATGCTGAACAATTGAAAATCGATCAAGAAAGATCACATGAAGTTATGCTACAAAGAAGAAAGGAATATCATGACAAAAAAATGCGTCAACAAGTCCGTGAGAATAATCAGGAACTTAGAGAGCTCGAATCGAGGCTAAGGTCAGCTTATGTTTCAAAAGCTTTAGCACTTCAGAAAAAGGAACAAGAGACATTAAGGGAAGTGGAAAGATTACAAGAAAAACAAGAGAATGAGGTCCTTGAGCAAGCTAGACTAGAGCATTTAAGGCAGTTGGATATAAAACGACAAAAAGACAAGGAACGCAAACAGCAACTTCGTGACGATTTACGGAACCAAATTATCTCAGCACATCAACAAAATCAACTACTTTATGAGCAGTTTCTTAAAGAAAAAGGATATTTGGATGAAATAGCTCGTCGTATCCAAGAAGAACTGCTTGTGGACGCAGCAAAGAAGAAAAATGCAAAAGAAAGAACATTAAGGGAAATGGAAGCATTTAAATTAGCCAAGAAAGAGATGGAAAGGATACGACAAATAGAAGTTGACGAAGAAAATGTACGAATTAAAAACTACTGCGAGGAACGTGACCAAAAAATTACTGAGGACGAGAGACGCTGTCGTGAACTTGAACAAAGGCGAGACTGCTTGAATGACAAAATGGTTAAAGAGTTGACAGAATTAATCGTAAGTACAGTGATAATTTATGTGAGAAAGTTTTGGTGATGCTGTGCTGGATTTTTAACTTTGACTATTTTTGCTGGATGAAATAAATCTGAGGATTTAAAATGGGAATAAGTTAAATCCTCAAATTAAAAATATTTGATGGTAGTCAATTGCACCGAAAAATAATAAGTCCACAACACTAGAGGATAAAAAACCCGAAAAATGAAAAATCACAAATTTTAATTTTTCAAGTGGTCTTAATCAGTCTTAATATTTTCACTGCAAGACAATAAATCCACTTAGATAAAATTCTCGTGCGGGTAAAAAAATCACTTTCATTTGTATATGGGATTTTTGTTTTCACTTGAAGTTAATAAATCCGCAACATTTTTAAGGATTCGTCTTTAATATCTCACGATGAGGCAATAAGATTACTTGAAATCGTAAGTGGATTTATTACCTCACAGTGAGATATTTAATCCACCTATATTTCTGAATGGACTTATTGTCCTTTTGTGCAAAACATTAAATAACATTACAATAAATAAATTATCACCATTTTGCAACAGAATATTGATCAGGTAAAAAAAAGTTGTAACATATTTAATTGATTTTCATAAAATTGTCAAATTCAAACTTTATTTTTCGTGTGGGTTAATTTACTATCTACAATTTTTAAAATTAAGTTGTGTAATTTTCAACAAGAAATTTAAAGTTTCTGAAAGAATAACGGAAAATAATTTCGTTGTCTTGTACTATCTTAGATCCTAGATTTGAGTAGATTTGAAAAGTATTTTTCTACAACAAAACACCTACTTAAATCAAATTATATCTTTATAATTTCTATTTATTTCTAATTTTTATTTCTAATAAAATCTTAAATTCAAATTGAGACTTTTTAAGATTGTCAGTTAAATATAGATGAGGAAACTCGAAATCAACGAATAAACATAATGTTTCATTAAAGAATTTGAAATTTCATAAAAATTTCAAAGTTTTCATTCAGATTTCAAAAGATTTTTATAATGACAATGTCAAAATAGTCAATTGAAAAATTGTTGATTTCACTTATATTAATTTATTATTCAGAATACTATTGTGATTTTCTGAAAAATAAGAGAAAAGTGATTCTAATAAGCTCAAAAGATAGCATAAAATCAATAATTAATGATCATTACAATTTTTGGTTTTCTCTTCATTCAAAAATTGGTATTTTTTAAATTTGAAATTTTAATTTAAAACTCAAACTTTGTTTTGAATTGTTTGAATAAACAAAGAAATCACCATTTTGTATTAAACAATATTGAAATTTTACAAAAAGAATTTGATTTAAGTAGGTGTTTTGTTGCAGAAAAATACTTTTCAAATCTACTCAAATCTAGGATCTAAGATAGTACAAGACAACGAAATTATTTTCCGTTATTCTTTCAGAAACTTTAAATTTCTTGTTGAAAATTACACAACTTAATTTTAAAAATTGTAAAATCTTAAATACCATTTTTATGAAGAACTTGATCAAATTGATACTTATATTTTTTTTAAAATAAAATTCTAGTTGATAGTAAATTAACCCACACGAAAAATAAAGTTTGAATTTGACAATTTTATGAAAATCAATTAAATATGTTACAACTTTTTTTTACCTGATCAATATTCTGTTGCAAAATGGTGAAAATTTATTTATTGTAATGTTATTTAATGTTTTGCACAAAAGGACAATAAGTCCATTCAGAAATATAGGTGGATTAAATATCTCACTGTGAGGTAATAAATCCACTTACGATTTCAAGTAATCTTATTGCCTCATAGTGAGATATTAAAGACGAATCCTAAAAATGTTGCGGATTTATTAACTTCAAGTTACCTTAAATTTTAATTTTATCTAAGTGGACTTATTGTCGATGGGGGGTAAAATCCCCGAAAGATATTAATTCCACGATCCTGCGGGATAATAACCCCGAAAATCGCAAATTTTTAAATGTTCCCTGCGGGATAATATTCCCACTTAGAAATACACGTGGAATTATTATCCTTCCGGAAAGATAATAATCCCACCTATAATTACAAGTGGGATTATTATCTTTATGGAACACGATTAAAATTATGGATTAAATCAAATCCAAAAACTTATTTGTCATAGTGGATAATAATTCCACTTGTATTAATAAGTGGATTTATTATCTAATAGGATTTTCATCCAAAAAAAATCCCACTTATTAATTTGTCAATTTCATTATTCCAAAAACTTAAATATGAAGAAAACATAAATATTGGTTGAATGTTTGCTTTTTAAAAATATATTATTCCAAATTGTTTAAAAAATAAAATCAAGGTGGGTTCAAGAGGGTTCAACTGATCTAAAGATGTTAGCTATTCCATATAAAATTATGTTCGAGATTCGCTCGAATGTTTAAATAAAATGTACCCGTAATTCCATTTTGTTTCGCTTCATTCATTCAACTGTTTAAAAATCACAGTTTTGTTCAAATGTTTAGGAGTAGATATGTTAACCTCTAATGGGCAAAATAATAAATTTTCGATTCTTTCCTGAAATTTTCCAAAAGTCATTCTAATAATTGTAAATTGCCCTTAACAAAATTAGATTTATAAATCTAATCATAATATTTGTTTACACATTTTGCTAAGAAAAATGTAGAGATTTAAACATAAAAAGAACGCAAAATTAAAATTTTGTTGCTCAAATTCTTATTAAATTAACTAGAATTTTAAAATGATGGCAGTTCTGATGCTGTTTAACCGTGTATACAAGCCTCAAGAAGGTTTCCAATGGTTTTAGACGATTTAAGAGATTTGATTGTTTATAATCTCAAAATTTTGAAATTATTCTGATTATTCAGGTATACAGGGTTACTTAAACAAACTGATGGCGACAAATTTATTGAAAATGTTCAGCAAATAATTAAAGTGATTCGTACAAAATTCAAACGTGATATTTTGTAAGTTTTTTCAAACTTGAGCTCTTTTAAAGAAAAGCTTAAAATAAAACCTGTCAGAACTAGTGTATCGGGCAGAAACCCAATGCGGATTATATTCACACCGTACCATCAAAAGTCTAATGGATAGACCAAGATTTTCCCAGCATAAGTATGAAGGTATTAAGCTTGATAAGTCAACTGAGCTTCGCTCAGCATAAGTTTGAAGATATAAAGCTAGCGAGTGAGCTGAGCTTCGCTCAGCATAAATTTGAAGGTCTAAAGCTTAACGAACATTCTTTAAAAGTTTTTAAAAAAATTTTTTCATCCAAACTTGAATTTTATAAAAATCACAGTCAACTTTTGTTTTAAAAAATTCGTAAGAAAGGAAAGTTTTTTGCTTTTTCTGAAACAACGGCTGTTCCTACCTTGCCCAAAAACAATACAGCTCTTCTATAGAGCAGCACGGATCAAATTTAAAAAACTAGAAGTCTCTACGATGTCTCGTTATTGAGATTTCTTGCTGATTAACTTGCTTGCTTGTTTGCTTATTTGCTTACAGAAAGCATATTTTGCGATTTTCTGAGCAATGCCACAACCAATTTGAAATCTGTTTTTTGAAAATGATGTAAAATTTCAGGCACAAACTTTTCTTCTTGACCTTTTATAACCAATTTTGCTTCGTTTTCTCAAAAAATGAGAAAAACTGATTTTTCAATCTGAACAAAACCAATAGATTCACACGTGAAAACGGTGTGAATATAAAAAAATTTTATATCCTAAAATAGATTTTATATTCAGTTTGTTCAGTTTGTTCAGCTTGAAAAACAGTTTTTCGCATTTTGAGGAAAAAAAGCAAATGGGCAAAAACAGAATTTAAATTGGCTGTAGTATTGATGGGAAAATCGCATGATACGTAAGCAAACAAGCATCAAGGCAAGTAAATCAGCAAAAATCTCAATAACGAGGCATCTTAGAGACTTCTAATTATTGCATTTTGATTCTTGCTGCGTTAAAAAGGATAAGGCTTTATTTTTTTATTGGGTAAGGTAGAAACAACCATTGCTTCCAAAAAAGCAAAAAACCCTGCATTCTCTATCCTGCATCACGTGAACTCAAATTTTGCCAATGACAAAAACGTGATTTATTAGTTCCGCACGTTTTAAATTTTGAAAGCCTTCATTTCAAAACTATTTGCAAAAACAAAAAATTGAAAGTTTTGTGTGAATATGATTTCTTGAGTGAATAGATCTTTGATACATTAAACATCTAGGCTCTAGGCTTTTAAAAAATTTACAAAAGGCATAAAAACCAAGTTTTCAACTTAAACATTCAACCAATATTTATGTTTTCTTCATATTTAAGTTTTTGGAATAATGAAATTGACAAATTAATAATCCCTGCATCACGTGAACTCAAATTTTGCCAATGACAAAAACGTGATTTATTAGTTCCGCACGTTTTAAATTTTGAAAGCCTTCATTTCAAAACTATTTGCAAAAACAAAAAATTGAAAGTTTTGTGTGAATATGATTTCTTGAGTGAATAGATCTTTGATACATTAAACATCTAGGCTCTAGGCTTTTAAAAAATTTACAAAAGGCATAAAAACCAAGTTTTCAACTTAAACATTCAACCAATATTTATGTTTTCTTCATATTTAAGTTTTTGGAATAATGAAATTGACAAATTAATAAGTGGGATTTTTTTTGGATGAAAATCCTATTAGATAATAAATCCACTTATTAATACAAGTGGAATTATTATCCACTATGACAAATAAGTTTTTGGATTTGATTTAATCCATAATTTTAATCGTGTTCCATAAAGATAATAATCCCACTTAGAAATGTAAGTGAAATTATTATCTACCTCGGAGATAATAATCCCACTTGTAATTATAGGTGGGATTATTATCTTTCCGGAAGGATAATAATTCCACGTGTATTTCTAAGTGGGAATATTATCCCGCAGGGAACATTTAAAAATTTGCGATTTTCGGGGTTATTATCCCGCAGGATCGTGGAATTAATATCTTTCGGGGATTATACCCCCCATCCTTATTGTCTTGCAGTGAAAATATTAAGACCACTTGAAAAATTAAAATTTTATAAGTGGCCTTATTGTCCCTTCGTGATTTTTCATTTTTCGGGTTTTTTATCCTCTAGTGTTGCGGACTTATTATTTTTCGGTGCAATTGTCTAGCCCTAAAATATTTACGATCCAAGATTTAATCAAACTTTATTTTATCCGTAAATGTCGTTAAAAATGCATAGACATGCATTTTATCAGGCAAGCACTGTCCAAAGCATTCAAGTAGCATCGGTCGTTTATGTATACTCAACTTAAAGTTTTCATAAGACACGATTCCGTCACGATCTGCATCCAATTTCTTGATAACAATATCGACTAAATCCTTGACAGCTTCTTCCACGTCCTCTTCCTGATGCTTGTACACAAATTTTCTCATCAAATGAATCATTTGTTCACGTCGTATAACTCGCTTGCCTGTCAAGTCGTAGATTTTAAAGCAATATTCAATTTGTTCGTCTAGTGTGCCACGTAGAAATAAGGACATAGCTCCTATCCATTTCTTTAGTGATGTTGAACTTGTAATTTGAAGTGCACCAAACATTCGCTGAATTAGAGCATTATCTGCCATTCCAAAAGCTTTATGCAGCACAGTATCGAATGATTTACTTGGCAATTCCTGTTTTATTTCACATCCAGCATCACGTTGTAATTTGAAATAAATCATTGCGATGGCATTAAGCTCGTCTTTGTCGAAATGCCACTTTGGTTCTGGCTTCTTTAATGTGTCTTTGTGGTAATTTAAGAAACTCCATTCCTCAACGCTGTCACAAGTGCGATCGAATTTTGACATTGCTGCTTGCTTATTTGAGTTTTTTGAAAATGAAGAAATTTTTTTGCAAAGCTTACTGTCACATATATTTCTCTTATTTCAAAAAGTTTTGTGTGTTTTATGATATTTAAGGCATTTATAAATCCTCTTGTAACACGATCGAAAACGGTTGTAATGTTCGGGGCCATTCACTTATTACGTAACGCTTTTAGGGGGAGGGGGGGTCTAAGATTTTGTTACGGTTCAAACAAGGAAATTTTTTTTTTCATACAAATTTTGTTACGAGGGGGGGGGGGGGGTCTAAGAAGTCATTTTTTCGCGTTACGTAATAAGTGAACAGCCCCTTCTGGATTAAAGGATTTTTGAATTTGAAAATTTCAAATAATTTTTTACCGTTAATTTTCAAATTTTAAATAACCGTTATTTATGCTTAATTATTAATATTGATTCTTACACTCATTGACAAATCAAAATACTACTACAGGAACGTAAGCATGAACGAGAGCATTTACTGCAAGAGCTGTGGGCATTCGAGGAAAATGAAAAGATCGAAGAACAAATGCGAAATAAATTGGAATTCCAGTTGAGACAACGTATTGAAGCACGTTTGATATTAGAGCAACAGTTGATGGACCAGAAGCAACGAAAGGAACGGGAAGAGAATGATGAAAAAATATTTTGGGAGAAACAATTGCAAATGTTAGCAGAACGTGACAAAATTGAACAATTATCGAATGAGAAAAGGCGTAGAAAAATTTTGGAGCATCGCAAGGCCATTCAGGAGTTACTTGAACAAAGAAAGCTTCAAAGAGTTGAAGCTCTGGCAACGGAGATAAGAATGCGTGAAATTGAGGAACAAGATGAGAAGAGAAAGTATGTTATTAGCATTCTATTTACTTTATGTATCACTTCATGTGACAAATAATCTTTTCTTCTGTTCTTTTTCATTTCCATATTTTTTTTCTTTTCTTCCTTGATGCCAACCTACATTTACTTGCAGACAAGAGATTGTGGAAGAAGAACGCATTAAAATAATTCAAGAGCACGCTGGAGCATTAATAGGATTTATTCCGAAGGATATTCTACGTGAGACTGATAAACAAAATTTCTCATTTGCAGGCATTCTGTAAGATTTTTTAAGCATATTAAATTTCGATAATAGATTTTCTACGCACATCAATAAATATTGTATCTTTTTATGACTAAAGTTTAAACTTTGATGCTTTAAATTTTTCTGAGGACTTGATTTGATTTGATTTTTCAGGATTTATTATTTCAGCAACATCTACAGATAGTTTTAATGCTGCGTGCAAAGGTTCTACTTCATTAAGATTTCATTTTATTTCGTATAATTTTTAACTAGCAAAGCATTAAAAACACTTCAACAAAAGCTTTTCCATTTGTAAGACTATTAAAAAGCTAAACTTAATTAATTAGCAGTAGGAGTTTTCATTTGATTTTAATGAGCCATAATACTTGAGGATGAAAACCATTGGAACTTCAATTCAAATGTTATCACTTAAAATGCTGGCAATTAGACGAGTTCTAGGTTAACTTTAAAATTCATTAATTTTTGCTTTATTTCAAATTTAGATTGTTTACGTGGGAAATTAAGTTGTGAAATTGAAATTAAATTTTGCAATAAATTTGTCAAAAGCACCTCCTTTTATTATGCTGATGATTCTTTATAAAAGAATATTGTTTTTTAAGTCTGCATAAATTTAGATTCTATTTTTGACTAAACACATTCTATGATTTCTCATATATTTTTAGTATTCTTAGACTTGGAGTGTAGGTTGTACCTTACAATTGTAGCAATTGTTGCTTTTCAAAATTACGTTGATCTCAAAACCACGTTTCTGTGAAGAAAGATGTACGAAAAAAAACCTCTTAAAGCAGTCCTTTTTTTTAATTTTAAAACCAGGATTCTACAGTCATTTAAAGCACATCCTACTCTGATGTACATCCATTTATTCCTTTATTCAGGTTAAAAATATTTATTAATTCATTCATGATAAAAGTTCCATGGCGTATTCTATTTATAGTAAGAATTTAATTTCATAAATACCGGTATATCCTTTGATAAGTTGCGAATCACATTTCAGAGTTTCTGAAAAATCATGATGCAGAAGTAATGAATGCTTTATAAATTGTTGTAAAATATTAAAAATACTTGTTAAGCAAAACTACCATAAATTATATTAATTTTTGCGGAAAGTATATTAAGGATGTGTTGTTTGATGTTGTAAATCTAGGAACATGTCGTATATTCAACGTAGCAAAAGCATTATTCGAATTCAGCTGGTTGTTTATCATTTTGATTAATTTCGCACTTTTAAGCTTAAACTTAAGTTGCAACTTACAACATACACTTTTTTTGCGTTTAAAGCCTCAAATTTTTAAAAAAGCCTCAGACTTAAAAAATGATTTTTGATCTTGGTAATGTTTTTGTTTCCTTTTGTTAAGCATTCAACTAGATTCTATCAAATCCAGTTCCAAAACAAGTTGAATGTATAACCATTGAAAGTGTCTTTCAAGTACGCGGGCAGGATATGTCAAGCTTGAATCAACTTAAAACTCAGCCTGTATATTGTCATAATATAGGTTATCTTAGGTCATCAATCAAAACTTTTCAGTTATGATTAGTTTCCGCGATAAAGCATGTGCCATTTTGTACAGACACAAAATTGGGAGTCCGCGGGCGACTTTTCATAAAATCATGAAATAATTAAAGGTTGTATATTAAAACACATTTACAAAAACTAGAGGTTACTTATAGTTGGAATCACAGCTGACAGGAACACTGATTCTAAGATGTTGAATTATACAACATAGCAAAACTTTAAAACTCTGACAAAAGATTTGAAGATGCCTTACAATTCAAATTCATCTTAGAGTTCGTAATCATTTTATGAAAGTTAACAGATAATCTAAAACAAACGATAAAGCAGTGAAAAGTAATTCTGACTAGGTACATCCTCTAATGACAAGAAAAAGTTTAAAACGCAAAAAAAAAATCCAGAATTAATAAAAAGTAACGAATTTCGTATAAGTCTTTATTTCCTTTAAATGTTTCATAAAAATCTAGTCTTTCAAATCATTACCATAGCAACTGAGAAATATACAAAGGCATTTTAATGTAGGAACCTAAAAGCAAAGCATTGTAAAGCACAACAACGTTAATTTCATAGAAATTTTCGAGAGCATTAAAATTAAAAATTTATTCCTAATTTGAGCAGCGACGTCAAAACAGAAGCTGTAAAAACTTAAGACAAATTAAATTTTCTTTTCCAAAGGAATTCATTACATCGCCTGCTAAGGTCATTGCGAACAGTCGAGCATTATATTTTCCACGAATAAATTATAAATCTCAGAATCTCAGAATTATTTTAATGCAACTTAATTGAACATTATCGTTGGAATTGCTTTTTATCAAATTTTCTCACTTTTTAAGAAGCGACTTTAAACATTTATTTTGTCTAAATGACATGTTTTTGTGTCAGCATGAGAATCTAGAGCAGTTTAATGGCAACATGTGTAAAGTGGAACATTTAAATTTATAATGGGATGTCAAAGGAGGTGGCTGACATAAAATTTATAATCGTTTATTAAATGTTTCCTTAACCCTCACATGTTTAAGGCTCGTTCACTTATTGCTTAATGCGTTACATAATAAATGTTCATCTTGCTGATGATGAAGTTTAGAATATATTTTCCGAAAGCTATGTAAATGCGAGTTAATTGAAGTTTAAATAAGGTGAAAACTAGGGTTTTCAATTCCGGGATTGAAATGTATGTTACCCCGGGATCAAACCCGGGATTCAGTTCATTTTAATTCCGGGATTGAAAACCCTAGTGAAAACTTTGAAATTTTGAACACTCACTCCTTTTTTAGCTACCTGTTTGGTCCAAGGGGTGTCAAACTCAAATTCGATCTGTATCTCAAATCCCCAAAAAATGCCGATTTAAGGATTCAAGCATTAAATTAAATGATGCACAAACAATGCTTAGGACCAGACGCTTCTGATCAAGGCTTGGAAACTTAGGATTAATCCTGAAAAATCCCTGAGCCAATAAACATGGAAATGTTAAATCTCTTTTAAATCCCTGATGCATTTTATGAATAATTTCGGGATTTATAGGGGATTTCTCATTTCCATGTTTATTGGCTCAGGGATTTTTTTTTGGAGTTTTGAGATTTTTCAGGATTAATCCTGAGCTTTCACGCCTTGCTTCTGATTTATTGACTTTAATAGGTTTCTTATGGTCAAGATTTGGGTATTTGAGTTTGCCAGCCCTTAATATGACGGCGTAAATTTAGATTTACAAGTGTAGTTAAAGGCTCTAAGATTAATTCCCTTCAGGGGCGTAGCCAGGGGGGGGCCATAGGGGGCCCGGGCCCCCCCTACGAAAATCTGATAATTGTTTTATTAAGTATTTATAGAGAAGAACCAGTTAATGTAAAGGAAGTGATGAAAGAAATGTCAAATTCAGCACGAAAAATTAAATTTAATGTATGAATAATGAATTAAATATTTAAACTTATGAAGAATGAATATAGATTTAAGGATACAAAATAACAATTTTTTTAATTTTCGAAAATGGGCCCCCCCCTTAAAAATTTTCTGGCTACGCCCCTGATTCCCTTCATCACAAAAGTATCCATTCCATAGCACATCATAGCTCAAATTCATTAAATTGAAAGAAGGTAAATTGAATTAATTTCTTTTCTTTATTTCCATCCATAACTTTGTCATCCGAATGTTACCTAGAAAAAAAATTGCAGAAAATTAATTTCACTTTTCTAGATCAAGGTTAAATTCCAAGAAGTAAATTCTGTGCCATAAATAATATTCGTACGGAACGCTCACAGCAAGAAAATATTCTCAATGCATTTATGCGTAGAAGAATCTTTTTGACCATTTTTTGTGTGTAGGAATTTTAGTCACTAAATGTCACAGTACATTTGCTGTCGGAGATACAATAATCCTTAGCACATAATGTAGAGCACACAGAGATATTAATATCTAGTTATTCGATAAATCTTATTAAGGATTTTTTCAGATTTTGTTAAAGAAAAAGGTCTTATTTCACCTTTTTCAGAAGAAATCCTTTTTATGTCGTAGAATTCATTTCTAATATGCTCAATTACAGTACACAGGGGTTGTGCATTTATGATGTGTAAGAGTTTTTTAAGGAAGTTGTTGAAATATTGAACAGACAGTTGTTCTCCTATTGAATTCCTTCTAGTTTGCAGGATTGGTTTCTAAAGCTTGGACCAGCCTCATGGACTTCTTTGGAAGGATTCATTTGCAATCACGAGTATAAAGTTTGTATTCAGACTCTAATGATTATGTGTGTGTGTCGATGAGCTACAGATCATAACATAACTGAAAATCCCTAATCAGAATGGAAGAAAAACTCCAAAATCCCATTTTCCATAAAACATCACAATCAAATGACCCAAAAGCTCTATAAGCACGAAACATTGACTTACATTAATGTAACAAATTCAAACAGTTTTAGTACTAGCTTAAATAGTTCAATTTTTTTATATATATTCTGTGTGGCGTGAAGGTATGCATAGTAGAAAAGGATAGTAATTGAACTAAATAAGCTTAGTATTGCGAGTGATATCGACGTTGTCGGAGCTTTAAAAAGCCTTAATAAAAAATATTGTTTTCTTTTGTAGACAAAAGAAATAAAAAAGTTTGAAATTTTTGAGAATCTTCTTATCAAGTATGTCCTTAAGTGTATCGCATTAGACGTGTTTTATTAATTATATCAATTGTTTTGGTTAAAAGTAAATTATAAATGAATAAAAAAAAACTTTCTTAATAAAGTGACGCGTGATATAAAAATCGATTAAGCTCATACAGCCTGAAACAAATAATATATATTTTATATATAAAAAATAGAATAAATTGTTCTTTTCATCCCTGACATGTGTGTGGTGTTGTGGAGAGAAAAACAATAGAAAGTTTGAACCTTGAAATAATGCTCAGTGGTAGAAATTAATTTGAAAATAATTAATTCATTATTTTGAGCATTTAAAAAAAAATTGTGAAGCTTTTGAGTGTTTTTTATTACCAATTATAATGTTTTTGTCAACTTGACAATCGTGGATGACAAGAGCAATAACAAAAGAATTTGAAATTTCTCAAGAACATATCAAAGCTACTTTGTTGCTTTCATTCTCCTTCATAAAAATCTTTATTCACAATTCCAAGACAATTCATAAATTATAAATTTCAATTTTCTTGCTACATTGTGTTACTGAATGAGTAAAGGTTGTTGTTTTGAAGATGTTTCTAATTTTAGTGAATTTCCTTTAACGTCATTGTTTAGAAATTTACTTATTTATAGCTATTCTAGCTGATTGTCTTCCTTTCCGTCCAGCAATTTAAAGCAATTGCATTCAAATGTTTTAGCAAAGATATACACGACTATTAAAGCAGTCGCAAAAGACTGTTTTTAACAAGATCACTGTTTAAATGATTTCAAACATTTTATCAACATCTAATTTCGTTCTTTTGATCAAATATATTTTTATAGTTAAAATACAAACTTGAGAAAAGCAAAAGCTTTGCGAAACGTTTTTATAGACCCCCATGGCTACGAACAGTAACCTACAGATAGTTTAGAGCTATTGCTCTGTAGTTCTTGCACACAAAAAATTGTTTTGTTGATTTAAATATCAATCGGAGTTGGAAAGCGCCTAATGTGGAAGCACTTTGGTTTTAGTTTTGAATTTTTGATTTTTTAGATTTCGATCTTACGGGAATCTTTGCCTCTGGTTTCATTTTTGCTTAAAACAATCGGTAACATACACTTAGACCTTTACTATTCCGTCTTTAAGAGCATTTAAAATATAGTCTAAATTAATTACAAAGTCTTTATACGAAAAAAGCCTTAAAATAACAAAAATCAAATAAAAGCTAATAAATAAATAAACTGAAACAGACATAACGACCAAAAATACCATTAAAAAGTATCAAGTATACCAACAATCGTAAAAGTCCGTTTACAACGAAATTATTTAATTGAATTATTTCATTAGAAAATTAGACGGAAAATTAAATTGTTTGAGATAAAACATAAACGTAATTTTGATAACCAATCCACGTGTATCGTCAATCTATAACAAATTACAACAACATCTCATGGCTTAAAAATGAATGAGGAAGGATATCGGTCAATAGCTTTGTAATGGAGTGAGAGGATTGAATGATGAGATAGAAAAAAATCCATTTCTTCTTTATGATGCTCATTAGAAGCTTTTGTTCTTGTCTGGTAAACTTAAGGAGATAAGAAGTGACTTAAGAGTTAGATGGGTTCCTCGTTACAAATGAAAATAAGGGTCATTAGCAATACTTTAGTCAAATAGATGTGCTATGGATTTATCATAAAAATTTCAAGATGATTGAACAGCTTAAAGCTGCTTCTCTTATTTCTTTTCTGCTTCTAATCGATTGCTATTGCACACATTTCTTCCTCATGTTACCTCTCGTTCATGACAAGAAATAATTTTCTTCAAAAATTGAGATCTGCAGCATAAACCTTATTACACGATTTGTAAATAATGAGGTCTCTTAGAAGCACATTTCTCATGCAATGAGAGCAAGATATAAAAATTGTAATGAATTGAATTAATATTTACATTCAAGTTCATGTGCTATCAAGCTTCTAGTCCAGATATTTGAATGTAGCTTTAATGAGAATTGATGTAAAAGTTTGCTTAGAGATTAAATGCAACCAAGAAGGAATTATATCATGGATTAGCCTTGATTGAGCTTATTAAATTGAGTAACAAATGTCATTCACTTGTGTCATAAATTGTTAGAGGTTATGAAAATGTGAGATCTGTCATAGATCTATTATAGAGACTACCAAGTTGGAAGTACTAAACCATACATTAACAAATCTTCTGTGGCAAAGTGGGAGTATTTAAAGCCCAGAAGCAAATTATATCACAGAATTTGACTGAACTCCTCCCACCCCACTCCCCCTTCTTGTCGATACACTGAATAAGATCTCGGTCTCGGTTTTCAACATTGGAATCCATTGACTGGATATAAGACTCTACGTCCCCTACAACTCAATTCAACAAACTCTTAAAGCTTCCTTAAAGAATTTCAATTATCTATCCTTTAATCTTCAAGCCATAATACAACAAAAACTCTTAATTCTCTCCTTTTCCACCACACAATTCAATGTCAATAACATTCTTTGTACTTATTCATTAGCTTTTTTATTTATTTCCTCAATTCACTTTCATTTACAAACAATTTAATTTTCCATGACATGTCTATTGATTTTCAATCAGCGGATTCCTTTCATACCTCCGTATTTTTCCCACAGTCGATATTTCACAAGTCATCAGGCGAAAGGCAATAATTTGCTGACTAACAGAGGGCATTTTGCAGTACAAAAATTGCTTTATGTACGGATATACGGTTTTATGCGCGCATTGAATTATAAAGCATTATCATTTATTTACAAAGTGACTGATTATACTTCTATTGTGTTATTATGGAATTGTTTTTTTTCCCTCAAACATTAACTCTATAATTGATATTTCATGCACAGTGGTGATATCGAGTCGATTAAATTTAATTTTTTAAGGAAAATAAGGAAATTATGCCTTTCCTTGATAAAATTTGTTAAACTAAGCCAGTGTTGTTATATCAGATGTTGATCTTAGGCTTCCAGAAATACTCCTGGATGAAGGGGTCTCTATAAGTATTCCTGGTTCCTTTTTCTAGAGATACATGTGGTACCTTACCCTAGAATCAAAAACTTATAAACTTCACTATAGGACTAGGGTAAGGTACAACACGTAACATTAGAATCTGGCGCCTGGAACCTACTCAGACTACCTAGACACTCAAAAAAGTCTCATGAATCTAGGTTTCAATTGTAATCTAATTGGTAGAGTCTTAGACACTAGCTCATGGATTGACATTAGACCTAATATAGAAAGAACCATGATATCATGATGTCTGGCGCAGACATGTCTACTTTATAGTCAGGTCTGAGTCAAATTTTAGGCAGCAGTAATACTTTTGGATAACAACACTGAAACTGTGTATAAAACTTTTAATTAGATGCATGAGGTTATGCTACCCGCCTGCTTCATACCAAAAGATAAACTTTTTTTTAATCCGTGGTGTTTAGCTGCTTAGGATAAAGACCGAAGAGAAAAATAATTTTTCTTAAAGTCATTTGTGGATAATAACTTGGATACAAAAGAAGCATTTATGAAAAGACTTACAGTTTATTGAACTTTCACATGCTGATAAATTTTCTAAAGGATTCAACATACAATAATGACACACAACAGCAATATTTCGTCTTCAGGAAATACTCCGTCATCCGTGTCAAATGGAAGTTCTGACGAGCGCTTGGTTGTAAGTATGCAATACGATCTAGATTTGACACGTGTGGTTGTTTTTGTAGGCTATACATAAGCATTCATTTACTATAGAAGCTTAATAATTAGGGGATGTGTCTTTTTATCCTTACATTATTAACAAGTTCTGAGAATCCTACTTTCTTCACTTATATAATTATGTGCTGAATGAAGATAAAATATACTTGAGACTTTATTAAGCTCCCGAGATTATTATTTCATTTTCAGGAATGAAAGCAAAGTTTATTTTATAAGTTGGATGTTACGTTCAGATAAATATATTTCTTTTAATTAAAACACAGGAGATTGGATAGAGATGAGATTACTTTGTGTCAATTCGGGGGTTGTTTGTGACATATTTACAGTTTTGAGACATACAGTGGATGGGAGAAACTTTGTTTTCAACTCTTAATGGAGCAGAATGTTAATCTTTCAGGAAAGCTAGCTTGATTGATAAGCATGTATCGTTAGAAGCATGTATAATTTGCATAACTTTAAAATAAGTTTTCTATAGTTATTCTTTCAAACATTTAAGCTTTTATTTCTAAGTGTTAAAAAGGTTCAAATTGATGAAGTGTCGTCATGGTGCTGCTCTTAAACTAATTTAATTCTATATGGCTATTATTTAAAGCTGATATGGCTATAGTTATAGGTGTCTATGAAAATTCAGACCAGAATAGTTCTGGCTATACGCCTGAAGCCTACACTTCCCCAATTTGTACCTCATTGCCACTTAAGTCTACTCTACAATTCTCAGTAAAGCCTCTAAAACATGAAATGCAATCAAACATGTTACCAGGAACTTACTGTTTTAACACAAATTAAAAGTTTCATTCCAAGAATTGACTTCTAATTAAAAGTCAGTTTTCCTAAGTCTTTTGTCATTGAAAATCCTTTAAGTAATTATCTTAATTATGCAAAAACAACAAACAAATCACGCACTACTTCACACCAATATAATTAACGACTTGACAAATGTTTATTGTGTAGGTCGCAGTACGTGTTCGTCCCTTGTTTGACATGAATGATATCCCATGTTTACAAGTAACCCCAAATGCAGCAATACTTTTTGACGAGGGCAGTGGAGGACGTAATAAATTTCGTCGTTATGTGTTTGATCATGTGCTTGATGATGCCAAAAGTCAGGAGGTTGTTTATCAAAAGACAACAGCTGCTTTGGTCAAAGATGTTCTTAATGGCACTAGTGCTGCTGTTTTTGCATATGGAGCGACTGGATCGGGTATGTAGAAGGTTTTCATGAATAAAATATTATAAATTCTCAAATGTGCTTACATCATATGCTACAATGTGGCTCTATGGATTTATGTAGGAAAGTGAGTAAACTCATAACTTAATCATTACAGCGATGAAAAGCTAAAATAATTTCATTTCAGAACACATACAATGTTGGGTCCAAATCCCAAGAAAGCAGCCACACCCTCAACTGCAACATCATCATCGTCATCTTCTTCAACAAGTGGCAGTGATGTTTCTCATGGTGATGGTTTGATGGTGAAAGCAATCGACGATATCTTCAAGTTTGTTGAGAATTCAGAAAATCCGCAGGAATTTCGCGTAAGTTGCTTGTTTTTATATGTTTGTATACAAAGCTTGTTGCTCGACCAGGAAGCAAAAGGGATCGAAAAAAGTTTCCTTCCGAGAAAGTGAAAATTGTTCATTTAGATTGCGAAATAATAATAAAAAGGAGGCAGAATTAGTAGAAATTATTCGAGGCACGAAAACGAATTAAGAGAAGAAATAAGAAATAAATAAACTTTGTTTCCCAAATAGGCTTTTTGTAAAACAATTAGAAAGTTTTGACTGGTAACCTTTTTAAAGCTGAAAAAAGCTTCGTAAAATATGAATGCATTCACCAAATTTCCTATTTATTCACAGCATGAAATTGAATTTTATACAGTTCGTGCTTCATTGGGTACCAAAATTGAATGTTTGATTTGTAGATACCACAAAATAATTTAAGTGCATTTTATGGAAGCTTTAAGATGCTGTTGTCTGCATTTTGTCTTTAAACTGGAAAGTAGCAAAAAGAGGGGGTAAAACTATTTAAAATTAGATGCTAAAAACACCTTCCCTCCCTCTGATAAATTTCTGGATACGCCAGGCGCGTAACCAGAAGTGGGGATTTGGGGGACAAATTCCCCAAAGTTAACAGAAATTTCTTCATTTTGCTAAGAGTTTTATGAAAAAATATACGCCTCTGGGATATGCCTCAGGATGTGTCTTCGTAAAAGAGCAACGCCAAAACTTGTTCTAGTCAAGAGAGATGGTCTGAATGTGGGGGGAGGGGGATGTGATAATTCTTAAATGATGCAGACAAGACCCACCTTTCTGTATGTTCATTTCATTTTTTCACCCATTTGCCTCAGTTATATAAAGTTGTCTTGATTATAAATTGAAAATCATTTTAATGCTGCTTTTATATTTTTGAAGTCATTTAACTTACATAATCAATGATTTACCCAAAAGATGTCTTTTATCTGTGCATTTAACGCTTTCGATTGCTCTTTGTGTCTATTCACGCATGGAGCATAGTACGACATATATTATGATTTGTAGACTTGTGTGTTCATTCATATTTACTATGGCACAAATAATGTTCGTAATAGCATTAAAAGGCTCTCTAGTTAAGCTTATATCGATTGAAAATAGTAAATGCCTCGTCCATAATTCATTAATTTATATCATTTGAATTAATATGTAGTTAATTTGTATGTGGATCAAACAATTCATTTCATTAGTCTAGAAACTTATTGCAATATTGTGCCGATGCCGATTTAACCCAAATAAATAATTTGGATAGATGCAAAAACCACATTTTCTCTTCCTGCTTTGTCACGCAAAGTCCTGTTGCCCCCAAAAGAAAAATAGAAAGTTTAAAAACAGGAACACTAAATCGAGTCGAAAAGAGGGAAAACTTCCGTTGACACGATTTTATGCCGACCACAAATATTAGTATTATGTTAATTACCATAACATTGGCGCAAACTCTACGTGATTATATAGGTTACTATGTTCAACATAAAGGTTTGTGCGTGTGCATTGTATCCTTACTGTTTTTCCCTGTTTATCAAAATGTCTATGAATACACTAAAGGGGTTATCAAGTTACAATAACAACATCGTATCATATTTGCTGTTGATTGTCATATGTTATGTGATATAGGAACTGAAGATTTTTGATTCCGACTTTAATACAATGTAAACAATATTAAGTACTTTGTAACTTTACTGAACATAAAGTGTATCGCACGTGTGACAGAAAAAGTGATAGAACATAAATTTCTTTTAAATAAACTTGACTGGATATAAACAATATTTATGGATATTTATTGAATTATCTATCCATCTATTACTATTCTCCTACGTGTAAAAAGAAACTATCTGTTCCGAACTTCCAGATCCATCTAAACCAACCTGTCTCCCTTCTTTAATGATTTATTTTTGAAAAGTCTCAACTTACACATTTGTAGAATGTTCGATGAATGTAATTGAAGTGTATATTCTAGGATATTTTAAGTATAACTAGGAAAAATGAGTATAGAAGTTAGTTGAGACACACGTTTGATGTTTCCATGTAAAATCATTATCAAGATTGACGTTTATTAATTTTTCTATTCGTGCATTTCAGTTAAAGTAGAAGTTTAATGATTTGAAGAGCAATAGGGTCTTTCACTTGTTATGTAACGCCAAAAAAATATTTTTTTACCTTAACGTAAAGTATGATCTAAGATAATTAAAAGAGCTGAACATATCTTCAAAATAGAAGCTACCTTATCCAAAAAAAAAATCGAAAACTTTTAATGTTTTCCCTTCAAAGTTTTTGCTTAGCAATCCAGCCAAAGAAGGTCTTAAGCATATAATTTCTGAAGGAAAAAAACTTTCAAGGACACACTTGATCCCTATTATATAACCAGAATAACTTTAAAATTCTTTATTTTGCTAGGGTTTTTATGAAAAAATTCACAAAAATACACCCCCCCTCCCCTTAAATTTTTCAATGCAAAAAATATTTTTGCCCCCCCCCCCCCTCTTCAAATTTCCTGGCTACGCCCCTAGTTCACAGAGCGACAATTTTTGCTGTCAATAGCTCTGACTACACAAAGCTTCCCAAAAGTTTTCTTTTTATTGGAAAATATCGCTTGAGAATGTGTTGACCCATGTTAGTAAATTGCTGCCAATTGGCAAAACCGACCGCTGTTGACCACTTGTGCTGTTGTCAGCATAGAAATTAGGTTGACAGTACATACACCGTGGAAGCCACAAAAAGTTATAATTTTCCGTTCTGTATTTTATGTCGCAAGGGTTCAACATGATGCCTGTCATTATAAATTCTCAACATAACATACTGACATAATTCTCGTCTTCTTATTTGTTTCAAAGCTTTTTAAAAAGAATCCATTTGAATTTATTATTACTTTGAGCTTAATGTATGAGAATGTACATCCATTTGTGTATCATATGTCTTAACATTGCCGTTAACTAAAGGAAATTAGAGAATGTGAAAAAATTCATGAGTCGACAGCCTTCTGTCAAGCTTTACTCATCATACAAATATGATTAATGATATCTGAAGAAGGACTGTACGAGAAATCAATTGAATACATAAGAATACAGTATTTGAGGAAAGAATGAAGAGGCATAATGGAAGAGAAAAAAAAAAATCATTAACGAAAAGTGATCGATTTATGAACTAATAGATACCTACGTATTCAATTCTAGATATAATTGAATGACAGTCATAACAAACAAGAAAATTTGATTGAGATATTGGATATGACTAACAAATGAGATGTCGCAAAATATTCATTCTATCAAGACGTTCCATACATTGAAAATCATTCACTAACAAGCTGCAAATTGAATTTTAGTAATCAACATTCTCGATGCTCTAACGAACTTTTCTGAGAATGTCGCTTCTTATACATGAAACTGAGACGAAATGTATATATTCCCGGTTGACATAGAATCGCATGATGCTGAAGTAGGGCTGCAATTAAATTTTCATAGATTTATTGGCACCACTAATGAAATGATTATGCTGTATTAAAGCCAGCCATACTAATTCCTAAGCTTAAATATTGCCTCTATAGACAGTGATATGTAATGCAGGATCAACAAAAATAAAAACTTACTATAATCTATCAATATCATCAAGACGAGGAAATTACGCAAACGTCATCATGACTTTTAGTTTACTTCTAAGCTGTTTTCCAATACTAATTCTAATTGAATTAACATTTAATGTGAAAATAAAATAGAAGCTTCCAAATTTTCTACGTCGTCGAAAAGGTGCATCCTTGAGTTTTCATTGGAAGTGTCAACGGAGACATGAAAAATGAATTTATTTTCATCAATAATATCAATATTTTATTGGCTGCTTTATAAGGAAAATTAGTGGGGGACAAAGCAATATTAAATTAATCTATTAGGTCAATATTTGTCAAAGCTCTTGAATAATTAATTTATTACTACTTGTACTCAACCTGCCTTGGATACATTTTTGACTTTTGATCATGAACATTCTAATCATTTTATTAACGGGATCGTAATTTTCAAGGAATAAAGGTGATATGTCATCATTATCATATGTGTACTTACCTAGTCACAAAATCATAAATGATGCTATGTTTGGGGATAATAGACATTAATTCCATGTCTCATGTTACATTTATATCTCATTAAAGAACCATATCAAGTTCAACAATGTTTCAAATTTTATTGACACGTTATATTATATTGCCATACTTAGTTTATTACTGCTATTTTAAATATTTTCTTTTTTTGCTACTTACCAACTTTGTGCGTGTACGTACATTATTTTATTCACTATCATACTTCATTTGCAATTTGTATTGCCTTTAATTAATTAATGTTCACTAAACAACTTTATATATATATCGAAACATGTATGATGTTCTTAGCTTTTATGCTTAACTACCCGAGAGGGATAATAAAACCAAATCAATCAATCAACAAGTGTATATGTGCCAAAAAAAGTATGCAAACATTAATATAGGGCACATTAACCCCTTAGCTTGACAATTAATATTGCATGAAAAAATTTTAAATGGGCCCATTGTGCTGAAAATTGTAACAATAAATCTAGAACAAAATTTCCATAAAATATGGATGGTTGAGAACGTTGATTATTGGATTTTGTTTGTAGCTTACTTTAAAAACAAAAGCCCCAAATTTTCATAATGGTTTCAAGTGCCTTTAAAGTATTCATTTAGTAGAGAAGTTAACGCTTTCTTAAATATTTATACTCTTACTGATTATTAACAGTACAAAGGAAATGAATAATAAAAAGTTTCGTGCTACAAACTCGTGACCTTTCTCTATTTCCTTTTCCTTATTTTCATTTTCATTTTCACTTTCAATTTTAGGTGTCGATATCATATTTGGAGATTTACAATGAACTCATTCGCGACCTCCTACATCCGTCAGCCGGTCCTCTTGAGTTGCGAGAAGACAACAAAGGCAACCAAATTGTGTCAGGATTATCTGAAATTAATGCAATAAGCCGCTATGAAGTCATATCATTATTGCTTAGGGGAAATAAGGCGCGAACAGTTGAGCCGACTGCTGCTAATCAGACATCATCACGAAGTCATGCTTTATTAAATATTACTGTGACCCATTCTACGGCGCTGGGAACAAAGCAAGGTCGCCTTTACTTGACAGATTTAGCTGGCTCGGAACGAGCAAAAAAGACAAAGAATCGCGGTAAAAGATTACAAGAAGGTGCCCACATTAATAAGAGTTTACTCGCCTTAGGGAATTGTATTAATGCATTAGCAGCAGGAGCTCGGTATGTAAATTACCGCGACTCAAAACTCACACGACTTTTGAAAGAAGCTCTTAGTGGTAAATGCAAAACTGTTATGATTGCTCATGTATCGAAAGAGTCGAGGCACCGTGACGAGACTAAAAACACGCTGGTTTATGCTGAACGTGCAAATCACATAACCACGCGACTACAAAATCCTCAATTGTTGGAAGAAAATCGCGAATTTCCAACTCAACATTATCAAAACTTGGTTTCAGAATTGAGAGAAGAAGTTGGAAGATTAAAGTCAAAAATGTTGACTGATCGACCCCGAAGTGCTGTCCAAAAATTGATTAATGAAGATCCGGACACACAAAAGCGAAAACAAGAACTCAAATATTTACGAGAGCAAATTGTTTTGACATTTAAGCAGCAAATGAAACTTAGAAGACGTTTACTGGAGGCGGAATCTCATTTACTTGGCTTAGAACTTGATGCTGAACGTCAGCACATGGTCATTAGGTGAGTTGCTATGGTTGAATTTATCAAAAAAGTTGATCCGATTATTTGTTCAAAAGTATATTCCTAAAAAAGCGCACTTGGAAGCTACCTCGCTAACAATTTCAAGTGCTTCTGAATGTCTAAGAATATAATTGAAATTATATCGCTAGAAATGTATATTTATCATCTTTTTACAATCTTCCAAAAATATTATATTTTTTGGTGAACAAGCAAAAGTCATTAACTTTCCTTTCATTTTGTGTAGTCATTGGCAAGGAAGGAAAGGAAAGCTTTATGAACGAGATGCAAACATGACACATTCGAAGAAGCAATATAATGAGAATGATGATGGCAACGAAGATGAATCATCTGAGGATTCTGAAAGCGCTTCAGCACTGAGGAATGCATGGAATGAGTTGGCAGCGATTGAGAGGGAGACAAAAAGATATAGAGATATACGTATCACTACTGAGAGGGAGCTTGAAGATTGCAGGAAGCGAGGAGTTGCATTGGAAGATGTAAGTATGATAAATGTTTTTCAGGGACAGTGCATAGATGATATCAATCATTCAGTTGACTCCCCTTCTTCGTGCTAGAGTAGCCTATTAAAAATTCAACCCCAAACCCTAATCTTACCGATTAAACTTAATAGAGCTTCCTTTCTAGCTAAGCATCTAATCCCTCCCTAACGTTAGACGTCATTTATAAACCCCTCCCCATCAAGATTGTTTATTCAGTTTTGCTCAATTTATTCTATTGTCTCTGATAGGAGCTGCCTGATCGCATTAGTAGTGACGAGGAAAGAGAACTACTATCACTATTGTGTAGAGTTCATGAACTAGAAGCAGACAAAGTATCACTTCAAGCAGAACGAATGGCTCGTCAGGCGGAACTCCGTAGAAGGGATTTACAATTACTGCGGGCGGAAAGGCAGAGACGATTGTGTGAGGACATAATAAGTACACAGCGTAGGCTGATTGAAGGTAAATAAAAAATAAAGTAAAAGAAAACAGAAGGAAATTGAGCTTTTTTTTCCTCTAGCAAGATCATTGACATAAGTATTGATAATCTCTATTATTTTCTTCTTTGTAGACGGAAGAGTAGAAATTTCAGAAGAGTTGAGAGATCTATACACAATATATCAGCAAGAGATTCACGCCAGTGTTTACACATCTTTGCCGAGAACCCAAAGTCGCATGGTTTACGATACAAAACTTCCCCCGATTTATAACCGAACGTAAGGACAATATCCGTTAGCACAATAAATTGGTTTTTTGTGAGATGAAAAATTATTTTTAGACTGACATCCGCCGATAGCTCATCCAGTTCAGATTGGTCTCCCACACCTAATACACAAGACGTAGAAGGAAATGTTCAGCAACCGCAACATAACTCATTTGACATTCTTATGGGACCCGAAGTGAAGTCTGTGCGAACACGCTTACCATCAATTCACAGCAAACGACACCTTTACCCCAGTGCAAGCACGTCGAGTGAAGACTAGTATAGAAATAGAATTCACGATGTTTTTCCACCTCCAAAAAACTTTTTATTTTTTTCGACAAAATTTTAAAAAATATTGGAACAAAGAATTTGCATGTTGAGACAACTTTCTTTGTAAGAAATGAAATGTATCCTATAAATAAAAGCAACGACGAATAGAAAACTTTTATGGAAATTAAATTGTTTGCTGTTATTGAACAGTTTCGTGCAATTTTTTCAATGACTTTCAGTGACGAACTTATATTCACTTATACCCAGCAACAATGTACACAAGATGTGAATGATTTTTTTTGCAGATTTTTCTTTATTATTTTCAGGGATATTTCTTGCACGAATTGTTTCTAGCTATAACCCATTCTGAGTCATTCTGCTGTTTAGGGGTGTTCACAAATGATGTGTTTTGAAAAATCATGGTTTTGAAAGGGTTAAAAAATCAACATAATATGAAAGATCTAGAATGAATCGAACCTACTTCCTCACTAAAAAATTGGACCTTATGTTGTTCAGTTTCTCGTTCATAGAGGTATTATTTTTAAACTTACAGATTCGTCATACATACAGCTCGATTCAGTCTGTATTCTTCACTTACATAGCATTAATTTTAACTTTTATGACCAAATCGCACTCCTTTTGACATAACTAAAACCACAGTCTTAGCAATTACTGGTGATTTTATCTTCATACACCACAACTCACCTCCCCAGTGACCCCTTTAAAAAAATAGTCATCATATGTGATCAAACCCTCTTTTTTCCGATATAGGAATTTTTGATTTTGAAACATAAATTTTGTAACAGCTGCTCGGAAATGCTAAAGTTGATATTTTTGAGGAAAATGTGGATAAAACATAAAATACGATTGCATTGCTTACTTCTGATGTTATTACTTCCTCAAATGCCATCCGATTGGAAGATTTCTCAAAAGACATAAATTACCAAATTTTTTAACGTTTTTTCATTAAGAAATCCACGTTCCAATTCATTAATTCCATGAAAGAATCCTCGTTTGTACACGTTACGAAATAACTTTGCATAAATAATTTTTTTCACTTCCACGAGTTTTGCTTCTTTGCTTGAAGCTTTGAGAAGATTACTGAAATAATTATAAGGCGGAAATTTTCATGAATTAATTAAATAGTCAATTAAGTTCTTAGAATGAAGAGACGATGGGAGGAGGAAGTTACGTTTCAATTAAAAATCACTTACAGTTTCACAAGAAAGCTTCCTTTTTGTTTGACTTCATTATCTTCAGTTTTAAAAGTGCTCTAATTTCGAGAAACTAGAGATGCATTTACAAAACAATATACTTGGATTGTTTATTTTTATCTTTGAACTTCTTTGGTCACTTCCTTGTTTTTGACACGCTGAGAAAGTTTCCAGGGCTATCATGTCAATCCTGACAACAAGAAGATGGTCAAGAAAAGTTTTAAACCTCCTTAATCCATCCCTATCGAGAAGTCTGTTAAAAATAAAAAGCAATTAATTCCAACACATATCTCTCTCAATAACACAGCCACACTTATCACTTCTAGTTTTTACAAAAAAAAAAGAGAGAAATCCTTAAGGACTGATTTTGACACTTCATCTCAAATGTCGTAGGAAACAATAACTCATACTGACAAGTGAATAATTCATCAGAAGTAATTATGTAAGAACTACCTTGGCAATGTATTTTTGGAAGAAAAGTCAACAGTGATTCCTTCAGACCGGAGGTTGAAATATTTATTTACATCCTATATATTCTTTTTGCAAGGGATGTTTAAAGATTGTAGGATGTTTTATTAATATTAATGCATTTTTAATTTCATAAATTCAAGAATTAAACAAATTGAAACTGAAAGGTAACATAAATTGCGTATTTCAGCATTAAAAACCATGTTTATAAACTATAAGAAATTGTTAAAAATGTGTCAGATCTAAACTAGGTTTTTATGAGGTTCAGATCTGAATTGTTTTCGAAGAAGGCTGATACCTTAAATAAAAATTCTAAGACAAAAAACAGTCAGATGTGAAGTCTAAGGAATAAAAGCACATTAAAGTTTTCTCCAGAAGGAAAGAAACTTTACAATGACAGCCTTGAACTTGAAACAAAATTGAATGTTGCATGAATCAGGGGAAATTCTGAACAAATCAACTGCACATGCGTGTAGATTTGTAAAAGCTTTTTTTTTGGAAACTTGAATGTTATGAGGAGAAAAGTTAGTCAGAAAGATGACATGCAAGCAATATGAAGGTTCAGATTTCTTCTGAGAAAATATTACTGAAATTTACGATAAATTCAATTATTAATAAAGAAAGGGGAAATGACACATGCAGTGTGAACAGGAACGCCAGAAGGGAAGATCAAAGGAATAAAGCCATTTATGGCACTCGTCATCATGAGCAATTTTCTGTGAATAAATTAGGATCATCTGAATAAAATAATATCATTGGCGTTTATAGCATGCATGGGATGTAGAAAATAGCTTTTTCAGCGGCCTATTAAGTACCAGCTGTTAGATATGTAGGAGGTTGGCATACGATTTTCTTCAGAACGACAATGTTTGCTGATTTTAAGAAGCTTAATAAATTTCAATTTTCTGCCCGGAAATTGATTTTCTTGTGAGCTAATTCCGGTGAAACGTTCTTCTTCTATTTTGATCTTATCACCACTTAAAAAATCGATCATTCATTCAGGTTTCCTTTAAATTTTCTATGTTATTCTGTTAAAAGTTAAGTCTGATTTAAATTTTGTGAAATATTTGTTAAGTTTTTCACACTAACCTCTTAGTGGATATTTATTATATTTATGATACCTTTCCATGAAATATTAATGCATTATTTAAAATTTATATGATTTTATTGAAATTTGTTATGTCTAGAAAGGATCAAGTTTTTATTTTAATGTTTTATCCATCTTGTGAACTTGAAAATCATAAATGCTTTTCATTGGATAGCTTAATGGTGTTTCATAAATTTTAATTACCAACTTATTATTTTATTGTGTACAGCATTTTTTCAGAAACATGATGACCTAATTTACTCAACTTTAATTTTATTTCTTCATGCATTAAAAATTCACTTCCTTATTATATCATTTCCAAGAATGATACCTATTATATTATTGCGACGACAATTCAAAAACATTCTATAACACTCTGCATTGTAATGTAGGATTTTCATCATGAGGACAATTCATGCATAGATATTATATATTGTCAAAATAACAACAATACAGAGATTTGATAAGAATAAAACGTGCATAAACAAATGAACAACTGAACCCATCGGAAGAAAAGCCTTCTCGGAAGTAAAAAAAAATCTTTCGGAATCTTTTAAGAACACCACAAGTGTGCGATCGGCTGTTCTGCGTAATAATCATAAAACTTTTTCAATGATTATGTTTTCATATTATTTCCAAAATGCTACCTTTAAATCCTATTCATACACTGCCAATATTCCATTCAGTTGGGATTCATTCGCATTTCCAAGGAAAATGGAATTTCTTATTTATCGAGAAAATCACTTAGGAATCTCAATAAATTAACTCATATGATGTTAAAGTGTAAGAAGACAGTCTGTTTTTATAGCAAATACTTCAACTTTTGAAGCAAAGCACAGAGGTCTATCACCAAATCTCCTCCCCTGATTGAATGTTTGTAGTCCTCCAGTCTTTCATTTGTGCAGATTGATTTTCTTCATATTTTGCAGACGAAATAAAATAATAAGAAATTTTTCGCCTAAAGAATTCAAGATTCTAGACTTCATGCCTTTTACATTGTATTTGGATCGGAAGCCTTACGCATAACACCGAATATTTCGAAAGTAATTCACATTTGCTAATTTAAACATCACAAGCTTCTTTTAATTTAATTGAGAGTGCAAATTTTGTCTTCTAATTCTTTAGTTGAAGAATTTTTTAATTAAAATCTTTAAAAACTCGTTAATTTTGAAGTTCGTACTTGGATTGAATTGATTAGAATCAGAATAATACAAATCACTGTGGGTTAATGAAAACTTTAACTTTTGAAAGGAATTTAAATAAATTTTGTGTACCGTGAATTAAAAAAATATTTGTATTAAGTTCCAAACAAAGCTCGAAATCGATGAAATTTTGTATCAACTCGGAGTTGACTCCGCCATACAAAATTGTAAAAAACTCGAGTCTACATCGATCTCTGATACCAAAGCTTTAACATCTTTAAGCAAATGACGTTTAATTGCTTTTAAAGCTTGACTTGAAGAATGACGTTTAATTGAATCATCAACTTACAAAAGTTCCTTAGAATATTAGATATTGGATAAAAATACATGTGAATAAATCAATTTAATTTAAAAATAGTTATTTGTAGAATATGCTCCATCAAATTACTAAACCCAAATCAAACTTAGTTTCCGCAACAAATATCTTTTTAAGATTTTTTTATAGAAAAATGGATCATGATAAGGCATTAAAAATGACATATGTGAGGGTTTTGGAACCTTTTGTGATTTGATAAATTAAAATTGTCACTAAAATTAACTTATGAATTGGAGCTCAAAATTTTCCTTAATATAATTTTTAATGTACATTCTTCAATGCATTTTCTCAAATTTTGCTTACATTCTCCATAATATTATTCTCATGCATCTTTAAAAATCGTGTAAGTTTATCACACGAATAATGCGATTTATTTGTCACATTTGTCCTTCGTTATAATTTTATGAACCTTTTTTACAGCTCCTACACAACTTTCACAATGAAAGATTCTTATGAAAGGTGTTAAAGGATGTAATTGAAAATAAAAGGCTTACCTAGATAAATGTCAGAAATTTTCATTCATGAACAGATACATAACGATGTACTTATAGATATTGAATGATATTCAAAAGTATAAGCATGACTGAGCCAGAATTCTACGCATTTTTAAATTGATATTCAGAATTTTAGATTTAATTTTATACGAAATATGAGGAAAACAATGTCCATTCTTCTGGAAAAATATGATGAAAATTGTTATTATCAACGCTCAATGCCATAAAATTATAAAAACATTCAAAATTCAGCCTTGACGAGACATTTAAAGGCACGCTCAGTTGATTTGCAAAAACTTTGCTTTCTTATCTTATCATCCATTTACACTTGCAAGAATCATTGATTTTCAACGATGCTTCTTCATTTCAATGAATATTTTAGCAAGCCATAACAAAACAATGTTCATGAAATAAGAAATAAAATTCAGTATTTTAAATAGCTTTATAAATATTTTATCTTATGAGCCTAATCGTAAGGATATGAAAAGAGAAAATTTTTATTCAGTGAGTTTAAAGATGACGTTGAAAAATTAACAGTTAAGAAGTGAGAATAAAAAATTTTATAAACTTCTTAAAAAATTAAATAACTTGCTTTAGCAAATCAGAAACAGAATAAAAGCTTAAAAAAATGTACCATAAAAGAATTATCCTAAAATAGTTCTAAACGCTGAATTTAGACGGCTTGGAACCGACTTAAAAAGGCTGATTGAATTAGGTCGACTCCAAAAAACTGAGTGATTTATTTGATTAGAATTGTCTTCATTTGTGTAACTTTGAGCTCTATGGTCGATTTCTAGTGCTACATAAGGTATCCTATGCTACTCTATTGGTTTCCATTGCTTAAACTAAGCAAACTTCTTTACAATTTATAAATAAAATCTGGCAACACTCCAGGCATGAAATTCTCAAAATTATTTTAAATAAAATGAACGTTAATGCTCAATTTCTTACAGCAAATTCCACAAATGACTAACATTTAATTCCAGACAATAGAAAGTATACAACATGATACATTTTTTACTCAAATGAATCTCCTTATTCAAAATAATCTTATTTTGTTTACAAAAGAACTCAATGAGCATACTAAACTGCTATTTTCTGACTTATTTATTTGCGATGTATTTTCACAAAAGTAAGAAACACGAAGAATTTTTGCAGGAAATACACAAACAACAATTTCAATAAAAAGAAGGAAGAATTATGTCAAATATGTACAGAACATACACAGGAATTCATATTTTAGAAAATGTCGGATGCAGAAGCTTATGATAAATCTACCAACCTTAAACTTCGGTGAATTCAAGTTTTATCATCAAATCTATGGTAAACATTGCCTAAATTAAATCACAGTTTATGATTGCCAACATATGACTTATATTGAGCTAAAAGATTACACTTGAATCTACATGAAAGAATTCAAAAGAAAATAATTTTTTATCACTTACTCATGTATGCGAGGAGGTGGCGTCTGAAAGGTGAAATTTAATTTTATGCTCCTCAATAAAAAAAATGGAGATTGTGCGACTTATTCATGCTGCTGTAATGAAATACACATTTTCTTTTCATCCGAATGAAACAATATGTCAAGCATCTGTGAGTAATGTGATGGTTAACAACTCTGCACCATTCACAACTTGAGACATTTACCTTGAGCATAGTCGAGTGTTACACATGCTGTATCATGCTTTGTCATGGTAACACATCAGAACAGTATTGTTGTGTGGAAAGATTTTAAAGCAGTGATTCTTAAACTGTAATCCTCATTTTTTTAAGTAAGTTTTAATCAACCCAAAAAGCACAAGTCGGTTAATAAAATAGACTTAAATCAAATCCAGCACGATGCCAAAGTTACGCCAGTTTGGTGCTGGATTTCTTTTTGATCAACCAACTTGTGGTATTACGGCATCTGGCTTGGTTTCTAAAGGGGAGCTTGATGAATTCATTGTACCTGTAATAATAGTCAGGAATTCTTAAGCCCCAGGCGGGCTCTTGTAATGTCATGAGCATTGTGCAAATTTCTTGTTCTATTAACAACACTCTATATAATGATTGAGAAATCAATCTGTGGTGGGAATCGAACCCACGTCCTCACAATAAAAAGGTTCTAGGTTTCATACTTAAACCTCACGAGCTACAAAAGCCTAAATCTCGCACTGGCAGATTTGCTTCCACATGGCTCGATACCCCATATACTACTTTACTCCGACATTACAGTTCTTAAGACAGTTTTAAGTCAGATTCAGATTCAAATTCATCGTCAACCGTCTTTAGTTGCAGTAACATCATGAAATTGGAATAAAGATAGGAATCGAACTCATGCTTTCACAAAGTTTAAGTTAACAAGCTAATGCCTAGCCACTGGACCATTAATTTCTTATTATTGCACTTACAGCTTACATAATTATATCTTTAAACCTTAATAGATAAAATGGATCACGTACCAAAGATTAAGAATCTCTGGGAGAGACGATTGAAGAAAGAAATATTATCAAGATTTACGAATGACAAAAATCTGTGGAAAATATTCTTTACCTGAAATGAAATGTAATAAAATATGACATAATATATTTCATGATATGAATAGAAATTCATCAAAAAAGGTTTGATATGCTTCAAATAAATAATCAAGTCTTTTTATTGAGAGAAAATTTTTCATTTATAATTTGATTTATGAAACTAAAAAATACATAACAAAAAAATGTGTTCGAGCTTCTTCTGATTCCTTAAATGCTAAATTTATTAAAATTACAATTTCTTATCATATCCATCTGTAATTTCAAGACATATGTTAAATTATCTTATGGAGTAAACTTATGAATCTAGTCTATTCTACTGATTTTGTTAATAATATTCTAGCTATGGAAGCTTATTCTAGTTTGCCTATCTACTTATGGTAATTTTGAATACTTTAACATTCTTCTTAGTGTCACTTAACTTATTTTTATTCCTGATTATACAAATTTCTTTCATTTTCATGTTTTCTCATTTTCATAATTTTTCATTTTTGTAATATTTTTTGACAGCATTCTAACCATCAGCAACCAGACAAGCCATTAATTCATAAAAATTTAAATTTTGGTTGCTGGGTGATTTGTCAATTTTTTTGGAAGTCAACATTGTTCACTTGATCTCTTATTGTACTTTTCAAGAGCACCTTTATCAAAAGATTTATTACATGTAGCAGACATGGTGCATTTTTTTCATATGTGTAGATTCATTGACTGCTGTAGTATGTAACCTAATGTTAACAATGAACCTTAAAGATTTTTTTTATGGTTGATTCAATTTGGATGATTTTAAGATATTTTCATAAAATAATTTCGACAGAATTTAATAGATTATTTTTTGTTAATTCAGAGTTGATATCAAGCTTTTGAGTTAAGATTTTAAAGCTATAAACTATTTTATATTCATTAATTGACTTCTGGAAGATTTAAATTGACTGAAGTTTTCAAATCGGCTTTCTACATTGTTTCAGAAAATAACTTAAAGTCTTGCTCGACGAAATTTCTTAAGGCATAAATGTAAATGACTTTAAGGCAATTGACGTCCAAAATATGAATTTTTACTTAATCCATTACAGCCTAAAAGAAAAAGCTTTGCTCAGACAATGAATAAATAAAGCTTCTTTTTTAAAAAAAAAAAATTTAAGGCTTCTGTGTCTGACATCGAGGAGTTTAAATTACTTTTAAGATTATTGTGGCATGGGAAATCTCTTGATGCTTTAGAATTAAAGGATTAGGCTGAATTAGGAATTGATTGTTTGTTACTAAACAACATTGGTTGTTTTTGTGAAAACTTTTCATTTAGTATGCAATACTAGAGTGATTCCTGGAGATACTAAAAGATTCCAGAATGTATAAGGGATCAAAAAATTTTCAAAAGAGAATAATGGATTTCCAGGAATTTCTATTGTTCTTGTCTTGCTGACCACCCCCCCCCCCCCCCCCTTGGACGTCATAAGTGAACGGCCCCGAATTTGATTTGCAGGAGCATTGTTTTCCGATTTGTCTTAACTTTTGTTAAAACATTCTGCAAAAGTTCAATACATATCAAATTTCTTTACTCAAATAGAAAACAGCATTGATCCAAATCAATATAAATACCAATGCTATCAGATTATTTACATTTCATGAATTGGAATTCTAAAGAACTGATACTGAATATTTATGAGCAAACTTTAATTTTATTGACTGTTAAATGCTTCATTTGAAATGAATCAATTTTGACTAATTGATTATGTAGACAAATAATTTGCATGATTAATTTAGAATATATCCAACAGGCAAATTCATATCCTTTCCGAATATTCTACAATTTGGCATTTGATTGTGCTCAACATGGCAACCGATTCACTCATATTTTCATTTGTATTGTTTGGTAAATAAAAATTATAATAATCTACATGAAATTGAGTTTTGCTAGCCAAAAACATTTGGGCTGCATGGAAATACAAATTTTAAATAATAACAAATAAATTAAATTGATGATTAGGAACTTATTATGAATTGTTTTGCCTGATTTATGAGAAAATTTATTTTTTTTGGGCTATTCATAAGTGATGTAGATGTCACCCTTACGTGCACGAGCATTTCATAGCTCGCATCTTTTTCATTGTTGTAACTTTTAATTTCGTATGATCATTTTCATCAATGTGTAGAATTTCGAGATCCTGTAAGCGTGTTGGTGCACAACAAACATTCGGTACATCATCCTTCTTAAGCTGATGATGCGCTAATGATTGGAAGTACGCATGATTACTTCCCATATTGTGCCTGAATGGACACGTACCATCACAAAAGCCTGCATCGAAGTGTCTTGGCTGAATTATATACTCATATCCACCAAGCTCTTTAAAGTCGATTGTCCATTTATGTCGACAGCATTTCTTTTCGCCATTATGTCGACAATGAGTCTTTTTGTGCTTTTGATTCTCTTTGGCGTCTTGATTATTATTTTTTCTTTTATTATTTTGTGTCTTCCTTTTTGATCTAACAATTGCACCAATAACATTCAATGCAGGATTATTTGTAGATTCATCCAAACGTTTGTTGCTTTGACTAGCTTCATTGACAATGTAAATGCCATACTTTGAGCACTGTTCACAATGGACATCAATATTCAATTCCTTATCACTTCCCTGAATCCATGTCCTCACGATCGAGGTCAGATCCAACTGTACCCATTTATTGTAAGCGAACTTCTTGTCATCGGAATTGGAATTTATTGGTAATGCGATATCTTTGTGAAATAAAAATATTCTACCGTTTTGTGGCTCATGTTGATACACATGCAATCGTACCGTCTGTGTATTGGGAATAAATTGAATTTTATTTCTATTCGAGTGTTGCTTTTTATTTGACTCTGAATGTCTTATATGAACTTGATGAGATTTATTTGAATTTTTACTATTTGACTTGAGTGTGAACTTTTTTGGTGAAATGTCGTGACTCGACGAACTACTATCATCATAATCACTTTCAGTTTCTGTGTCTGCTTTTGAGTTTGCTGACGTTGTTATGAAGTTAATGCTATTTGTCAAGAACACATTTAATATTGCTTCCTCTACCATCGTCGGAAGATCTTTCTTATCTTTAATTTCAAAGCTTAGTGATGTAACATCTTCATCTAGTGTTGAACGACGTCTTCGTTTACTTCCAACATTATTCGATTGATCTGTAAATGTTTAAATAAATTTTTTATTATTAGATAGTTTATTGGATATAATTAATTAATCATTCACAGTCTCATTATATTGCTCAATAATCTGTTGTATATTGATTGATTCATTCGTATGTGGTCGATATAAAAATTTCATTAAATATTCAGTCATTAATTGATCATGTGAGAGAAATAAATATATGTTTATTCCGAAAAGAATTCCTTTTGATATATTTTATTATGTTTATGAATATTTCTGTAATTCCTCGAACGCCAACATCCCGAACGAAAGATATGTGCGCTGTAAATATTTTCAATCGCTTTTTATATCTTAAGGATGCGGGGGTGTCACACTGTTTGGATCGTCAGACTGTCTGTTTGATCTGTTATTTTTTTTTTCGAGGATTGCGGATTGCGAATTTTCATTATTTATTTGTGTTGCCATAAATGGCTGCGATGGGATAAGTATAGCTTTGTGGGGTGATTTTTTGGAAAATTTCAAATTTTAATATTTTTTAAGAGCCAATGTTGATTATCGGAGGGTATTGTGGACCAGGCGCGTAGCTGGGAAGGGGGTATTTGGGTAACATCTACTCACCAGTAGTTACTTAATCCTATTATGTTAAATTTCAGTTAAACTTAAATTTAGTATTAATTGTTTGGGGGGGAGGGGGGGCTTATGACTCCTTCACTAGTTCTAGATCTATAAAAATCTAATCCACAAAAACTTAAAATATTCATTACCAGCGCACAAAACGCGTCATCAACTTAAACATCAAACTGTTATCTCTCTACCAATTCATCTAGTGATGGCACTGATCAAATAAAAATTCCAAGATAAATGCCGAGTGAGACAAAAAAATCAACAAATGAATAAATTGAGTCATTCAAGCATCTTATCACGCGTAAAATGTCAAGGTACTAATGAAATATTTTTTTCCATCCATTATCTGTGCTTCTTCACAACACTGAGCGGAACGATGAAGAAGAATATATTAGACAAACAATAATCTAACGTGTCATTTTATTATCACATTTTACTGTTGTTGAGCGTTTCAATTATGATATTTATCATTTCTAAAGAAATCCTTTTAAGGATATCCATGGTGTACACTGAACAAGTTATGGAAGTATTTGCGAGAAATTTCATTAATAACTTATTCCCGAGCTGCACATTGTTGATCTTAAGGATCTATTTTAGGACTACCCGAGGTTGTTTATACTCTGAAGTTTACATAAAGCTTAACTTTGATTAAGGTAGGGTACGCTGAATAGATAATGAAGCTAGTCTTAATTTTAATATTCATTGTTATTAAAAAGGCACTATTAGTTCTTAATGTCATAAGCAAGATTGATATGATAGGGGCATAAGGGACATAATAGGGACATAAGTCCTAGTGTCTGTTTCTTGTGAAAAGCTCTCATTAAATATGATAATTTATCACCACCTTAACAACTTGGCCTAGACAATAGTATAACGTAAAGTAAAGGGCTCTATGAATTAAATTGTACAGCTCGGGATTATTACCCTTAAGTTTACATAATGTAATGTAAACACAACAGAAGCAACAGAAGCGCTTCCGGTACTAAAGTAACTTTTCGGAATTGTAGGTGATTAAATCAACAGCAAACATCAATATACGTAATAAATCTTAAGCAAATAAATGAGGCGATAATATGAAATTCCATTCACATTCTTTGTATTTTGCATTAAAATTTACTCACTCGAATATTGGAAGGTAAATATTTTCTTAAGCGTTTCACTGTCCTCGTCGTCATCGTCGAATACAGTCCGTGTGATATCATCACCATATAATTTTGTGGATCTCTTCTTACGGGAATTTACTTTATTCAAATATTCTTTATATTTGGTAAAGTACTCTTCCTGACTAATGTTTGCCTGTAACGAAAATAAAATGAAATAATCATGAGAAAAATGTATATTTTGGCTAATAGCTGATTTCTAGTTCCTAATTAAGACATAAACAAATTAAACAGTCATAAATAAGAATTAAGTCGTAGGATTGGTCGTAAAAGTTGTCACAGATTTTGTTGTTTCTAATTGCTTCATCTTGTAGTGAAAATAATAATAATTGAATCATAGCAACAGCAAAGCTGTTTGCCTTAATAATTTTATTTTTTTTGATAACTCCTCCATGCCATAAATTTAAATCGTAAATATTTAATTAGCAATGTTTTATTAACAAAAATATTATTAACCTCGCGGACTTACAGAAAGGAAAAAAAAATAAAAATTCCATCAATTAAGAGCACAGCAGCTCGTTTTTTAAGCATGATCAACGAATGTTTTCCTAGCGAATGTACTTAAGGGTCATTTGGGTATTAGGTTATATTAAGGTAAGTGAGATAAGCTGAAGTATCGAGGTGAAGAATTGATTTTGAGTAATTGTGATTGTTTAATGTGGCATTGAGGCAGCAACCAAGGGTTCGAAACCCAATTAAGTATTTTAAAATCATTTTTGAATTTTATGTCTCAAAAGTGAATCTCATAGTGTCATTATGTAAGCTACAGATGTTAATGTCATCAAAAAAGTCAGCTCCACATAAATATCTGAGTTCTGAGGTCTTTTATCAAGCACTGTTTCTCTTTAAGCTGCCAAAGAATAACTTAAACCTGACTGAGTCTAAAGTTGGGATCATGTATAGTCCTTATAGTTCCCTCACTAGCATTAAGAGGCTTTGAACTATTAGTAGACCTGATATGAAATCAAATTTTCTGGCAAAGACAGTGCAGGAACTGCTTACAGAGGTCAAAAACACCATTTATTGAGATTACATAATTCCTTTATGATCCCCATACTGGTCATCGCTATCGCTATTGTGAATAAAATTTTTTAAGTAAACAGAATAATAGTGTGTTAATATCATGTGAAGGAAAAAAAGCTGCTGATGATGACATATTGTGTCTGTGTGGTATATTATCATTCTTATCAGTCAGTGAACATTGAATCATACGCTCATATAAACCGAGGGAACCTCATAATTCGCAAGATGTATGTCGTGATTATTTAATTGATAATAAAAAGAATACTGTTTACAAATTGATAATTCGTAGTGCAGAGAGTCTAATGTGACGTGTGACATATTTGTGCGATAAAAGCACGACACAGCATGATTTGACATAGTTACAAATTATTATGAAATTTTTTACAGTTAGGTCGACTGCTGTAATTGTGCTTAATTATATCATTTGTTGCCGATAGATTTTGAATTACACTAATGACAATTCACATTATAAATGAACGGATAATTTATAGGATTATAGTTGTCATAAATTGTTAATATTATTTACGATTAAACTAGAAATCTATTGTCGTAATTACGATACCTTTTGATGTATTAGCTATTAATTAAATTTTATTGGTTTTCTATTGAAAATTTCTTGTTTATTACAATAAAATAATTTTATGATAATTTCAAAATGCTATAATTAAAGCAGATTATCTTCTTATTTGCCTGAATTTTATTATCACACTTTAGTAAATTGCTTATTAATTTACGAAAAGACATTCGAGGGATTAAGTTAAGAAATTATTAAAATTTATCTCATTTCAAGGTTCATGATAAGAGAAAGCCGGCAACCTTTACACGTTCTGTACGACTCATACTCTTAAAAATAAAATAATATTGTGAAATATTTCATCATTGAAAGAAAAGAAGTACTAAGCCATGTGATTTCTTATTGCTATGTACTCAAATGTACACATTTCCAATTTCCTATACGCGCTTTGATCGAAATTAAACATATTTTGTATAATCTATTTAAAAAAAAAACTATTCGTACATAAATTTCCGTAAAGTATATCAATTATACACTACACAGCATGCTTCTTCTCTGTTTTCATCAACAATAATCTTCTTAGTGAATTTTATATATAATTTTCAACGTGTGTTTTTTTGGGGCGGGTAAAGTTCATATATTTATTGGAATAACAAGAATCTCCCTTAATCTATCGGTCACTTTGATTTGTCGCATGGCGACAGATTGAATATTCAATTCTTGATGTTTTTCAAATCTTTTGATTCTTGTCAAGTTATTATGGATTTCATTCGTTAATTGTTTTTAGTAATCTGGCGAATTGCCTTTATTTAAGCCTTTTTTGATTGTCAACTCCTGTAGATAACCTTGTTGCATCTTGAATTCAGCACGTAGACAGTAAATTATATTGAATCCTCATTCAATCCTCATTTTTAGTCATTGGATCTTAACTTAAGGACTTGAATTACACTGAGCTTAGTCATTTGTAAGTCATATAAGGTTTGAAGTTCACAGATTCCCAACTATTGCCTTTATTTTGAGAAGGATTTCTACTTCCTTTCTAAATTCTAGTTGGTTGTCATTTTAAATAAAGATAATGAGTTCGTTTAAAATGTCTAATCTTTAATCTTCAATGGAATTCTCAGGAATTTGAAAAAATACAGTATTGATAACCGGCAATAAATCTTTCAAAGATTCGGAAACTCCAGACTTTTGAATTGGAAATTCCTGTTCTAGTAACGAAAAAAGTTTCAGAATGATAATCAAGATCTTAACCAAAATATTCTTGCAAAGTCATTTCTAAGCTCTTCTGTCCATTAGAATCAGAATTAAAATGTTTTTTTTTTTTACATTTCCACTTGCAGAAATAACTACGCAATATTTTGGATATGGGTTCCGATTCTAGTTTGGATTTTCCTATAATTCGAGTAATTTAATAGATTTAATTATAAATAATCACTCGGAGGAATATGTAAATTAAATTTCAAGGAATTGAGATCGATTCAACACTTTCTAAATCGTGTTGATATCATAAGAAAATATTATTTTTTTTATTACTGGAAAATAAACGGAATTTGAATTTAAATAGCTCCTTAATTTATGAATTGAAATCTTTGGGAAAAATTCAAAATAAAAAAGGCACTCAAATTCGCATATTGTTAGGTTGGGCTACAATAAACCGCTATTTGAGTGGAATGTTTTGATGCTCTAAAAAAATGTGCAAGTCACTCCGAATAATCTGCTCACTCTCTCGTCAAAACATGTGTGGCACGCTCATTTGTTGAGGGAATTCCACGGAAATGAAGCAAGAAGAATAAACACTCGATTGCACTTAGTCGTCTTCGGAAATGATATTTGAGATTTAGAAGAAGCAGTTGCGTAATGAAATCAACGTTTCGAATTAATTTTAATTTAATATCGGTTTTTAAAGGGTTCAAAATTTAAATTTTTATAAAGTTTGAAATTTTTGCGGTTTTCTAAAGTTTGAAATTTTAACGCTTTTCTACGGCTTGAATTTTTTAATCATTATATATAACATAATTTTTGTAATGACTTTCAAATGACTATTAATAGAGACATCACTAATGAACAATTCCTTTAGTTACTTCCAAGGAATATCTTCTCAAAAGAAGGTTAATACTATATTTAGTTTGTTTATTTTCATACGAACCTATACTGCATAATATACAGTATTACTCATATGTTAAATTTAAAGCTTATCCGTAAAGCTTCTGTGAATTTTGTACCTCATTATTTGAGTATTCAAATATGATAAGCAAATTTAAGTCGAATGAGTATATAAATATTATTTTTTTTTGCCTGCTACTTTTTCTTTAAATATTTAAACGCCACACAGCTTTTCCTATAGATAGAAATGTGTAGATACTCTTCCTTTATTTTTATAAACTTTAAATGATTCTTAACAAAAAAATTATTTCTTTTTGAAAATTTATAACAACTGCGTGTCTAAAAATAGCCAAATTTTCATAACTGAGGAACTGCTAAACGTCTTTAAAAATATTATTGATAAATAAAAATAGAAAATTATTTACACTAAAAATAGATGAATGTTTATTTTTGGCATTGGCAATGAGTAAGAGTGTATTGAGTGATGAACTGTTTACTGATAAGAAGTTTTAATTAGTTTTTTCGATGAGTGAAGCTCATTATCACATTGCTAATGGATTTATGGCGATAAAATGTATAAGTTTGAATTGTCAGTATTATAATTTAATTTGATACTTCTTGGGAATTTAGGAGATTAGAACATCAAGTGTTTAATTAATATTTGATTGACGGATGTTTCGAGAAGTCATCAAGTGACATATTTAGCTTCAAGTAGCTCTCTGTTCACATTGTGCGTTTAATAATATACTAATAAACGTTTATTAGGCTCAAGTTTTAGTGGTAATAGGTATCATAATCATTAGCAAATTCTTTGACTATATTATGTGGAATCTTTTTGATAATTTTTAATGTCACTTGTGTTTGACATGTACATCTTATCTTTATGATTTGTTTTCAGAAATTTGTCTAAAATATTCCACGTGGTCGGATTGCTATCAAGTATAAAACATTTATTAAACATTCTTATGAATATTAACGATAAGATTAAAGTTTGAGATTTTTTAAGTGATTTCAAACATTTATAAAGAGAATGACAGGATTTGAGCCAGATTACAAGAACACTTCTATGGTTTTGAATCGTTTACTTTAAGATAAAGCATATAATATGCTATAAGAATCCTAAATGCTTAGAGTGTATTAGGCTTATTTAAGGCTAGACTGAAGCTATACTAAAGCTAAGCTGAAACTATGCTCAAGCTAAACTGAAGCTATGCTGAAGCTATACTAAAGCTATGCTGAAGCTAGGCTGAAACTAGGCTGAAACTATGCTGAAACTATACTGAAGCTAGGCTTAAGCTTCAATTATGCTTAAGCTAGGCTGAAACTACACTGCGTCTAGGTTGAAGCTAAACTGGATTTTAAAATAGAGAACAAATAATAGAAACTCTAAGAAATTGTAATTCTTAACTATTAAAAAAATATTTGATCGAATCCTAAAAAGAAACAAATTAAAACTTCGAATGTTCACTGTCTATAATAAACTCATTGATTGT